TTTATTTCTGAATTTTTTTAGTCATTGTGTTTAAATGCAGTTTGAGAGTTAAAGAATGAGAAATGGAAGGCAAGTGAACCCATCATGCCTTTTTTCAGGAGTTCCAGAAAGGATGAGGACCTTAAGGCAGTAGTGGGTTAAAGGAGGGGAGGATTCAGGGGATTTAGGAGGCAGGATTAACAGTAGTTGGTGGAAGGAGGCAAGACTTAACTCTTGAATTGGCTGATTTCTTGGTCATGGAGCAGTTAGTGGTGCTCTTTACTGAAATTATGACTGTCAGAGAAGAGCAGATTTGAGGTATAAGGAGTGTTCAGTGGAATACACTGAGTTCTTACTAGGGAGCTGAAATGGGTGCATAGGAGCTTCAGTTAGGGAGTTTCTGTGGGTAATATTTAATTGTAGGGGGAACCCTGAGAATGGTAAAAAGGTCATGGAATATGGCATCAGAAGACACACTGAATTCTAGTGTCGCTGTAGCTATGGACGTTGCATTGACAAATCACTCCTTCTGAGGGGTTAGAAATATACTTGTCCTATTCCTTGTGTGATATTGTGAGGGTTAAGTGAAATCATGTAGGAAAAAGGCCACTGGAAGAATTCAAGAATTATACAGTCACACAGTATACAGTAAAAGGAAATAGTGTAGTTTATGTAAAACATTGGGTTGGTAATTGAGCATTTTACTTTTTTATCCTCATGCTGTCACTGACAAACTGCAACTTTGGATAAGTCACTCTTTCACTACCCAATTTTCTTTCTTTGACAAATGAAGGCTTTAGATTAAGTGATCTCTTGGGTCCTCTTAGTGCTGAAATTCTATAATTTCCTCTTTACCAACATATTCTTTACAAAGGAAGTAGATTAGGAATAAAAGTAACATGGCGAAAATTAGGGGAAAAAGGTTTTAAAGAAAAAGTTTTGTTTTTCCATAATGAAAAGTGCCCCAAAAGAATGGAGGATAGAATATGAAAAATGAATGGGAAAGGTAGGGAAGTAAGTTAATAGGCAAGGGTTAAAGATGACATTAAAATAGGTGTGCATGGGCAGCCCGGGTGGCTCAGCAGTTTAGTGCTGCCTTCAGCCCAGGGCCTGATCCTGGAGACCCGAGATTGAGTCCCACCTCGGGTTCCCTGCATGGAGCCTGTTTCTCCCTCTGCCTGTGTCTCTGCCTCTCTCTTTCTCTGGGTGTCTCACGAATAAATAAATAAAATCTTTAAAAAAAATGCTTTAAAAAAATGGGTGTGCAGGGTTTTGAGTTACTCTTGGAATAAATACCTAAGATTTTATAGCAGTTAAGCCAGTACTTGAGCTATTCATCAGTGCTAGCACTATGATTTTTAGAGATAAGTGACACATGGTCTTGGTCTTCAGGAATGCATTAACTAGGAACAATAAGCTCTCCTCTGTCCACTCATCTTCCTATTTGATTCCAATTGAAGACACTTACAAGGATAGTTCTTCCTATTTTATCTCCTAGATATTTGAGAATCATTTTAAATATTTAGTCGAGGGTTTCTCATTAGCATAATGTGGTACTCGTTTGCTTAATGATTGTAAATCTTGGGGTTTTAATAATAGTATTAATGATTCTACTTAATATACATTACTAAGCTTTGCATTTTCCTAAATATAAAATATTTAGGAGACACACCCAGGATGTTTAGAAGAACAAAGAGCTATGACAACTTGCTCACTACCTTAATTGGTGCTGGAATCCGAATTCTTTTCAGTTCCTGCCAAGAAGAAACTGCAGATTTGTTGAAGGAACTGTGTTTAGTAGAACAAAGAAAGAATGTTGGTATTCATATCCCAACAGTGGTGAACAGAAGTAAATGTGAGGCACTTCAGTTTTATTTAAGTATTCCCCATATAAGTTATATAACTGCATTAAATATGTGTCACCGGTTTTCTTCTGTGAAAAGGATGACTAACAGGTACGTCTATCTTAATATTTTTAGATGGTTACTTTTAAATGATTCTTAGAAGTATTTCATAGAAATTTTAATATTTTTAAAAAATAAAGATGAGTAGCCCATTAGATTATTTCATTTCAGTAAAGACTTTTTGCTTGTTAACAACCACTGCATGAAGTTGATTTTAATTGGGGGGGGGGGAGTGGAATAGACACTGCCTTTGGGGAGCTTTGAGCCCTCTGGGAGCTAGACAGTTCTAATATTTGATCTTGCATTCTAACATTTCTGGGCTGTTTGGTTCTGGACCTAGACAAATGTGACAGTGTAAATTTTACTAGTTTTTGACTATTGCTTAATAAGGAAGATTTTAGAAAATAGGTTATTTTAGTTAAACTAAAGGCCCATGTATAAGATATGGAAATTACTGTTATATAGGACTTAAAATATAGGGAATAAGTGTTTGCTTTATATAAACTGGTGCTAAGGACGTTAAGTAGATGTAAAATGCTTAGGAAGAAATGTTCTTAAAGGCTCTTTTACGTTTGGTGTTAAGCAAGTAATATTAAATTGTACAAGTCAAAAGTTCTAATTTTTTTTTCAGCTCGCCTCAAGAAATCTCCATGTATGCACAAGTAACTCATCGAAAGGCTGAGGAGATATATAGATATATTCACTATGTATTTAACATGCAAATGTTACCAGATGGTCTTAACCAAGGACTACAATCTGATGCATGATCATACTGCTCGGGTGTATGAAAGAACTCTCGCAATACTAAATGCACTTCAATAATCATTGCTGTGGTTTGTGATGATCAGTTTAAAATATGTAAAAGAGTATTCCCATATCTATTTTATATTGTGTACATTTTCATTTATATAGATTATAAATTATTTAAAAGAAAATCTGATGTTCAGTAATCATTTTGATTAACTAGATTATGAAACTTTTTATTGAATACAAGGTTACTGAAGGTGCTAATAAAGTAAAAGCTCGAGTTAGATGTGTTCTAGGAATTTTCCAGAGATTATGGTACTGTACTTACCATTTGTTAGTATAATAGGTTGAGGTGTCTGCTTCCAACTTAATAGTCATAAATAATTTTTCCTATATATGAACAATATCATCTAGAATATTTTAATGTCCTAAGTCTCCATACATTTTGGATCAGATACGGGAGCTAGAGATAGGTGTTTTGTGAAATAAATGCTCCAGTTACGAAGAGAGATGAAAATTTAACTGAAAGTGATTATCTTACCAAAAGTGTCCCAATCAAGTATAGTCAAATCCTGCTGTAGTATGAACTCCAGCCTACACTACTTTTTTTGTTGTTGAAATATATTCAAAGAAGTGGAATATTGGCTTAGACTTGGAAAATTAGTATAAATGAATTGTTGAAAGTGGATTTCATTGTGACCATAACAGTGTTATCTGTGATGCTATTTATATTTTAAGATGTCTCCATGTTTTCATCTGCAACATCTGAGCCTCTTCTGGTCAGTCTAGTGCTAATGCAGCCTTTAACTATGCCCCTCCCACACCCACACCCCCATTTAGAGTCCTATATTCTCTCGTTGCCTTACTGTTTCTTCTGTTACACTACAGGGTAGTTGTACCAGCTTCACAGCAGAGTTTTTCTTACCTTAGACTAGGCAGGCACTTAAGAGTTCATGAAATTCAAATTGCTGTTCTCTTATCACGTGGTGTAAGTGAGGCCCACAAACAAGTTGACTTACTCAAGTTTACTGGGAAATCTAGAACCAAAACTAGATGCAGTTCTTTTTCAATAAAAAGTTACTCTGATTGTAAACTTATCTTCTTTGGGTAGTATAATTTATTTCTTCAGAGAGCAGTGGATTTCATAGTTCTGTGGTTCAAAAATTCTGTCAAAGTCAGAAGTTCTAGAAGTTCCTGGCTCGTGCAGTTATTGATTTTTATCTATCAGGCTCAAATTTACCCTTTAGTATCTTGCCTTGCTATAATGGACTGGACTTTCTCAACATTTCTCGCTACCGTGGGCAGGATTTAAGCTTTGTCAGTAGAAGGAAATAAAGGGCTTGTTTCTGGTTCCAGTGTGCTGTTTTGCTTTTTGCTCCTGCTACATGGTGTTAGTGGCGCATGGGGGCAGAGACATTTGGTGGTAGTCTCTCCCAGCCACATGCCCAGAAGCATGCAGTTCCTCAGCAACTTCATGTTGACCTGGGCTGCTGGCCACCTTGCAGCATCTCCTCTGCAGACACCATTGTGCTCAAATTCTTTGTGTCCAACCACCAAACGAAATATTCCATAAATAAAATGGCATGAGGGACATAACCTAGAGGATTTTATTTACTTACGCTTGCTGTGTACAGAGCTCAATCCATATTTAAGCTGCAACAGCCCTCTTTATACTCTCATTGGTATCACGTAACTATCAGCACTATTGATTATTAACTCATCTTGGAGCCTACTTTAAATCTCCTTTGGAGGTTACTTGATAAGCCTTACTAGCTTATCTTATGACCTGATGGGAAGAAATGTGACTAATCAGGTACCTGGCAGGTGGGATACAACAAAATAGACCAGAAGGACACTGAAGAAGTTCCAGCAGGACACGGAATGTGGCGGTGGTGGTGGGAGGCCACATTTTTTGGTTTGTGTTAAGTCTGTGCTATATCAAAATTAATCTTTTCGTTTCCCATTATGGAATTTAACTACCTTCTAACTAACTCCTTAAAAAAAATATCCATTAACATTAAGCAGAATAGTATAAACCCAAGTATTGGCAACTTAAGTTCTACAACAGTATTTGACTCTAAAATAATCCCTTCTTTATTTGTTCCATCCTCCATCTAAATTCTTTGTGGCAGAAACCATTATGATCTAAGTCTAGCTGCAATATTATTTTTAAATCTTGTGTTGCTGTAAATTCTATAGTTCTAGAACTGCTGATTATTACTGAACTCTTAAGAAACATGAGCATGTAGTTTTTAGTGAAAGTTCTGGTAATTTTTGAGGCAAGGAGCTGAACCAGTAACAGAATGCATATTTGTTTACTTTCTATGATCCAGTAATCAAACAACAACCAAAATACAAACGTTACAAAAGTAAACCAAGTTTATTTAAACAATCTAACTGGAGAGAAAGAGTGTGTATATACACTGTAACCAAAGGAAAAATATTCTATGTCAAATTTCAAAACAGTGGTAAAATAGGCTAAAAAAAGGTTTATTTCTAAAAAGGAGCTGTCTGAAAGGAAAATAATGTTACTATGACATGGCACGTTAACTTGACTCCTAGTGGTAGATCAACTACTTGAATATTGAAAAGTCTAATCCAGTCCTTTTAACATTGAGACCAAATGTAAACTGCATATGTAAATAAGGCATAGTGCAACAAAATTTGTTCTCTGATTTCTACCTAATAAAATATTGAAAAACAACAAATTTACATAGGTTTCAGAGATATGCTAATCATAAGTTTTAAGAAAAAAAATCACAAGATAGAGTGTTACATAGTTTTAACAACATGTAATTTAAACATTAGATCAATTCTGGCTTGTATACCAAGTGGTAACAAATGCTGACTTGGAAGTTTTCATGAATTTAGTAGCTGGCAGTACAATCTACTTCTCATTCTCCCTCCCCTATCCCTTGAGGATAGCATTTTCTGGGAAGCTTTAAAAAAAATGGAACATGATTTTCTTAACGTAAACAAACTTGGACGGTTAAGAGATACTTATGTAGAATATTTTAATAATGCAAAACCCAGAAATTCACAAGTATCTATACAAGCAAAACAATTTTCCTTACATTTTTAGTAACCTGCAGCAATGAGGAATAGTTACAGAAAGATGTTTTAGATGAATTCAGAGTAAAACATCTCTCTGTTAACTATTCATCTCCTAAAACCTCTAAGGAGGAATCCACAATTTCGTATGATGGTATATTATGAAGAAAATATATGTATTCCAAAAGAAGACACAAATGTATTATCTGCTTCTTGATAAAAATCCTGAAAATATTTTCTCATTTTTACTAAGAAGAATCAGAGTCTGAAAAATAATAATCTTTCTCTTCTTCATCTAAAGACTCCATAGCATTAGCGAAAAATTTTCCAATACCAGAGTTTTCTCCTAATTCTGTAAAAAGAAGTTTAATAAAAGATTAATATACTTCTAAAAGCAATTTCAATGAAATTGAAAAGAACTGAGAAATTGAATAGACCTGCCCACTTCAGAGCAGTTAATTTTAGTACCATGTTAATACAGAGACTAACTTATAATAGACTGAGTTACAAAAGAAAAATAAATTACCTTTGTTAAACAGGGTTGTTTTTCTTGATGTTGGAGTTGAAAAATCAGTTTCAACCTGCAAGAGAGTTCATGTTAATAGCTAAATAGTACCTCCTGTGAGTTCTGCCTCAAACACAGACAAAATAAGTATGCTTCATCCTGAGTACCTTGAACACATGCCTATAATGATACCTAATCACATTATGATTATCTGTGAAATGTCTAATTCTTTTTCCACAGTTGAATCTATCTATGGTAAGAACACTTCTTCAATGTTGTTTCCCACTGCTGGCAAACATGACTATAAGAAAATATTATCAATTAATGCTACAGGGGTGAAAGGATAGTCTATGGGCCTCTGACAGTTGCCAAAATCTAAGTACTCATGCTATTCCATTACACTAGCAAAATTTCAATTGTCTAAAATAGTAATTTATATCACAAAGTTTAAGTGTAAAATACATATTTATTACATCAATGCTTTTTAAACTTTTGGCCATGCCCAGCTATCTTTAAAAAATGAAAAGGAATAGAAAGGAAATATGACAGGGTATATAGTATAGTGGTGTACTAAGGGTAAAAATAGAGTTCAAACTCTTGAGATACAAACTCTTGTTCAGATTGTGACATAACTGTACTTTTTCTTGTGAAATGAGTTAAAAACATTATTCTATCATTTAGCTCTCAAAATCATTCAACAACATTAAACCAGTATCATGATTCCCACATTGATACCATACATGAATAAAATGAGACTAGAAAGCCCAAGTAGCTTGTCTTATAAAGCTGGTATGAGGAGTTAGGGCTTGAAATAAAAACTTTTAACACTAAATCCTTTGTTCTTTCTATCCTCACACACGACAAAATATTAGTCTATGAAAAAGGACTAAATCACAAGGATATTATATAGTTCAGGAGACTGCTAAAATTATGACCCATTAAGAAAAACATAAGTCCAGTAGTGTTTAGGATGATGCCAGAAATACAAAGAAACAAATATTCTTAATAGGAAGTGTCCTTATTAGATCTGTCCATGTGAATTTTTCATCACTGTGCAGAGAACAGAATGAGTGGATTAGGGTCTTGCTACTAACTCAGTATGGTCCATGGACAGCAACATAGGCATTAGCACCTGAAGCCTGTTAGAAATGAAGAAATCGGGCAGCCCGGGTGGCTCAGCGGTTTACCACCACCTTCAGCCCAGGGCGTGATCCTGAAGACCCGGGATCAAGTCCCGTGTCGGGTTCCCTGCATGGAGCCTGCTTCTCCCTCTGTCTCTGCCTCTTTCTTGTGTCTCTCATGAATAAATAAAATCTAAAAAAAAAAAAAAAAAACAGAAATCTCAAATCTACTGGATCAGAATCTGGTGTTTAACAAGATCCCTAGGTGATGCCTTTGCACATTCAAGTTTGTGAAACAATCGTCAAAGCAACCAACTTTCACGGGCAAAATAGGGACTAGAAGCCAACCAAATCCTTCTTGCTATGTTGATTCTGGGTCCTCTGCAACAAACCAAAATTTCATTCTCATAAAGAATGTGGGACTGGGAAAAGGGAATCTAAGAATAGTTTGTCTACACCTTCAATTTTGGAGATATCCTTTAAAGAGTTTAGTCTCCAGGTTGATTTTTAAACCTGTGTCCAGAAGTATCTATCATTTCCTGTGGACAAATGAAACCATAAAAATTGGATGTGATTATGTAATCCCAATGTTTTAGAAATTCTCTGAGAAGAATTATACTCTAGGAAGTATACAATATAAATATTTCAACGTGGATAAGGGAAGAAGATATTGCCATAGTCTGGTGAGAAGGAATATACAATCAGGTGATAAGGTGGTCCTCCATAAATTGTCATTCTCTAAGATTAACTACTTTGAGGGCAAGAACTTTTACATAACTTTTAACTGCCACAATCTGCCATGTATTACAGTTGTTCAATAGACATGATGAATAAATGAAGAATAAATATACTTACTGTTTTTTTCTTGATATTGCCCCAGACAATGCCACCTTTACTTTTATGGTTTTTTTGCATACGAAAAACATATTTATCACAATCATTCCTGTTTGAATACAAAATTTTAAGTCAACAGTTAACTACCATATTTCTATCCACAGCTTCAATAGCAATGACAAAAATAATTTTAAATGTGTCTCAAACTTTAAGAAGTATATTTTCTGGGGAAAAGTATTTTCTGGGAAATATATATATATATAATATATATAAATATTTTTTTTTCTGGGAAGCAAAAGCAAAACTAAACTTTTGGGGCTACATCAAAATAAACAGCTTCTGCACAGGGAAGGAAACCAATCCACACAAGTAAAAGGCAGCCTATGGAATGGGAGAAGATATTTGCAAATGACATAGCTGATAAAGGGTTAGCATTCAAAACATAAAAATAACTTACACAACTCAACACCCCCCCCAAAAAAAATCCAATTAAAAAAGGCAGAAGACATGAATAGACATTTCTCCAAAGACATCCAGATAGCCAATAGACACTTGAAAAGATGCTCAACATCACTGATCATCAGGGAAATATATCAAGACTACAATGAGATATCACCTTCCACCTGTCAGAATGGTTAAAGTCAACAGTACAAACAATGGGTGTTGGTGGGGATGTGGAGAAAGGGGAATCCTTTTGCACAGTTGGCAGGAATGCAAACTGGTACAGCCTCTGTGGAAAACAGTATGGAGGTTCCACAAAAAGTTAAAAATAGAACTACCCTATGATCCAGCAATTGTACCACTAGGTATTTACCCAAAGATCACAAAAATACAAATTCAAAGGGATATGTGCACCCCATTGTTTAGAGCATTATTTAATACAAGTGCACATATGTGTGTGTGTGTGTGTGTGTGTAAATATACTAGGTATTTAATATATTTTATATAATATATAAACATAAATCTACTATACATACACACACATACTGGAATATTACTCTACCATATAAAAGATCGAATCTTGCTGTTTGCAATAACATGGATGTAACAAGAAAGTAGAATGTTAAGAAAACTAAGTCAGAAAAAGACATATACCATATGGTTTTAGTCCTATCTGAAATTTAAGAAACAAAACATGAACAAGAGCCAAAAAAAAAGAGGCAAACCAGGAAACAGACTCAAAAACAACAAAAGTCTATTTGTCTTTTCCACTTTGTAAAAAAGATTTTATTTATTTATGAGAGAGAGAGAAAGAGAGAGAGGTAGAGACACAGGCAGAGGGAGAAGCAGGCTCCATGCAGGGAGCACGACATGGGACTCGACCCCGGGTCTCCAGGATCAGGCCCTGGGCTGAAGGTGGCGCTAAACCGCTGAGCCCACGGGCTGCCCATGTCTTTTCCATTTTTTAAAAAACAATGGTGTACTGATGGAAATGGACAAAATATTTCAACTTAACATTTTAAAGGAACATTAAATAAGAGTAGGAAATTATGGTTTTGCTCATTGTTCAGTGCTCTTTCTGATCACTATCTTGCTGCCTCTCTTTTCCAAAATTCACTTTGACTTCTACCTGGACTCCCTTTTATTAGACCTCTTACTCCTTCCTGTTTACTTGCTTTCCTGTCTACATCAAATAGTTAACCACTTTAAGGATATACCTGGTGATGAAAACCCTCAATTTATAGCTTCCAACTAACTCCTGAGTCATTTCTTTTTAGCTTATTTTCTCCCCCTCTCATTCTTAGTAAATAGGCTTGGCTCATTTTACAGACACAAATGGAAGCCACAGAGAATGGCTATCTTTTTTTTTTTTTTTTTAAGATTTTATTTATTCATAAGAGACAGAGAAGAGGTAGAGATATAGGCAGAGGGAGAAGGAGGCTCCCTACACAGAGCCTTGGGGCCAAGATCACGTCCTGAGGCCGAGGCAGATGCTCAACCGCTGAGCCACCCAGGTGTCACAAGAATGGCTATTCTCATTTCCCCCTACAATTCCTAGTCCTTATGACAGTAAATACCAGCTGAACACCAATTGTAATTCTCTCTTAGCTTCAAGATCCTTTATGATCAATTATCCGTTCCTTTATGAAAATTTGGGAGCAGCCTTAAAGGTATAACATATTCTAAATGTGTGACTGTATTAAGATATTAATGTGAACCACAAGCACTGCTGCATAGCTAGTGAATAAGCCTAGCCAGCTGTTCAAGGATCAACACCTCATGAGTCCGTTGCCCTGTATGAAATAAATGTTTTAGGAAATATAGTCATGATATAAATGAATCTACCATGTGTTCTATTGGGGAGGAGGGGAAAGTCTATTTCCATCATTGCAAAAGTGATATTAAAAAAAAAAACACCACCACCAAAACTCACTTCACTATAATTCTACAACCTAGAGATAATGGCTATGATGTTTATAGTCAAGAAATTTCCTTTCTGGGGATCCCTGGGTGGCGCAGCGGTTTAGCGCCTGCCTTTGGCCCAGGGCACGATCCTGGGGACCCGGGATCGAATCCCACGTCGGGCTCCCGGTGCATGGAGCCTGCTTTTCCCTCTGCCTGTGTCTCTGCCTCTCTCTCTCTATCATAAATAAATAAAAATTTAAAAAAAAAATTAAAAAAAAAAAAGAAATTTCCTTTCTGAATATATATTATGTAAACTGGGATATTGTTTATAATTTAACTCTTAGCTTTTAAAATCTATTGTCAACTGAACATTATTCTTGGTTGTTAAAAATTCTTGAAGGTATGATTTTTTTTTTGAAGGTATGATTTTTAATTGTTATATCCTATCCTATAATGTGGACAAATCCTCATTTCTTAACTTTCTTTATTGGACATTTAGGTCATTTTCATATCTTCAGTATTATGTTTCATGACAAACATCTTTGTCCATACTAATGTACATTACATACTTGCCCAAATGTATTTCCTTATAAGTGACTAAGAAAATTCAAGGGCCAAAGGGATGAATATTTTAAAGCTTTTGATGATTTGGCCAAAGTACTTATCAAAAGCTTTGCCCAAAATTATATTCTTAGTATACTTTCACCTGCAATGAATACTAAATCAAAAATAATCTGTAGATTTCTGGGGAAAAAATTATGAAAATTATGTTTTTACCAAATAAATGCAAATTAAAATTTCACCAACCCTCAGGAGAGGACTGAATACTTTTTTCTCAGTCATTATTACGGCTTCTGCCTCACAACCCACAGAATTACTCTTAATAAAAGTCCTGCTTGATTGCCAAATGGAATGACTTATTTTCAGGCCTCATTTTTATTTCTTTCCTTCTTTTCTCTGTCATTCAACTGCTGGTTGTCCCTGATTTTTCTTAGTTTTACTTATATTTCAAGTATCTATATTCACATAGTTCAAAATTCAAAAAACTTTCCCTCTCTCATCTCCAAGTGAACTAGGTCCTCTTTGTAGGGATCAGTAGTGTTTTCAGTTTCTTATATATACTTTCAGATATTTAATCAAAGGAAAGCAATTAGGTATATATACATGTATATATGCAAATATACACAAGTATACACACAGCCCGTTTACACAAATTTTACACAATTTACCACATTTACACAAATGTTAACACATTATTCACTGCATCTTTTTTCACTTACTAGATCTTGAACATTTTACCATAATAGTACATTAAGACTTTCTTCATTAATTTCTATGGTTACATAATGTACCATTGATTAGTCCCTTACTGATAGGCAGGAGCTATTTCCAGACTTTTGCTATTATAAGCAATACTCTAATAAGCTGTATATTCACTATGTGAGAAGCAGGACTGATAGGTCAAATATGTGTATTTATAATTTTGATAGATATTGACAAATTGCTGCCCACAGAGACTACTAATTTACCTTCTCACTAGTGATGCATGAGAATCCCTTTCCTTTCCTCTTAATCCATAGGAGTGCTGCGTTAGGAAAATTAGCCTTTTCCTTTGATGAGTTCCATATATTCTTTTGTCAGATCACTGTTTATCTTTTTATTGCTTATGGTGGTTGGGTAAAACTTTTTATCTGGTTGACTTTATGATTCTTTTTGTTAGTGTACTCTGAGTCTAGCATCATAGTGTGAAAAGACTTTCACTTATCAATGATTATAAAATAATCCTCCAAGGTTTCTTTAGGTATATTTTATAGTTTAATTTGCTATGTGAAAAAATTTGATCCATTTAGAATTTATCCTGATGTAAAGTGTAAGTTGGGTCCCTACACTACTGAACAATATTCTCTACTTATTGAAACTGTCCATCCTGAACTTCTAGGAACTATTCTTGATTTTTTTGTTTAATGATGATTCTTCTCATTACTGACATCTACTCTCTGACTCATGAAATGTTAAATGTTGATGCAGAGAATTACAGTCTATATGCATATTTACCTATTTATAGAAGCTAGCATGCCAGGACTGACATGCTGACACTGAGGAGTTTTTGCCAATGGAAAGACAACTGATGATGGAGTTGTTGGATTTTTGTCCATACTCAGCAGAATATCATCTTCTTCTGCACTGTCTTGGAGATTTGGCAACTAGAAAACAAATAATTGTTACCAGCAAGCAGGCAACCCTAACATGGAATTTCTCATTGTCACTAAATATTCTTAGGTGGGCTGATAAGTTGTTTTCCTCCTTATAATTTTCCAGCTGAGATCTCTAAACACATTAGTAATTAACAGAGCCTCAGCCTCTAAAAAAAACTTTGGTTCTATTGTGTTAAGTGGAGACAATGACACCTATTTCTAAAAGTTGTGGAAAGACCAGGGGTCAGCAAATGTTTTCTGTCAAGGGTCAGATAGTATATTTTAGGCTTTATGGTCCATACAGAATCTGTCCCAAATATTCAACTCTGTCGTGAAAACAGACATAGCTATGTAAACAATAAATATGTCTCTGTTCTTTTTTTTTTTTTTTTTTTTTTAAATTTTTATTTATTTATGATAGTCACACAGAGAGAGAGAGAGGCAGAGACACAGGCAGAGGGAGAAGCAGGCTCCATGCACCGGGAGCCCGACGTGGGATTTGATCCCGGGTCTCCAGGATTGCGCCCTGGGCTGAAGGTGGCGCTAAACCGCTGCGCCACCCAGGGATCCCAATATGTCTCTGTTCTAATAGAATTTTGTTATAACAAATATGGTCTGCCCGGTTTGACCCATGGGTTATGGTTTCCTTACTTCTGGGTAAACAGAACAAAACAGAACTAATTCACTGATTACTATGCTTGGCACTTAATAGGAACCAAAGCAGTATTAAACTTTTGTGTATACACATTTCCATTAAATAATTCAATCCTTCATTAAGATTTTGCCTATCTTTACATTAAAGCCTTAGAGAAAGTGGATTTATGCTACAGAAAATGAACTTACTTCACTATTTGTTTTGTTTTTGTCTTTAAAATGTTGCTACTATTGCATTTAAGCCAAAAAATACATAAAACCTAAAATGATGGTAGAATTATGTAAAGGATATAACCCCTAAATTACCATGGCTGTTATGTAGTTGGAACACAGTAAAAGCCTCAGATGGCTCCCTTAAAATACTAATTATTATTTATTTATTTATTTATTTATTTATTTATTTATTAAGATTTTATTTATTTATTCATGAGAGACACACAGATAGAGAGAGAGGCAGAGACACAGGCAGAGGGAGAAGCAGGCTCCATGCAGGGATGTGGGACTCGATCCCAGGACTCCAGAATCGCACCCTGGGGCTGAAAGCAAGCGCTAAACCACTGAGCCACCCAGGGATCCCCTTAAAATACTTTTTATATAAAATCCTTTATAGTCTGTATAGGCAAAAAGAGCCCAGATAATGATTACTAAATTCTTAAAGCATTGTATAGCCTTTTAATATTGGAGACGTATAACAATATTAAGAAAATGAATAAAAATATTCTTGAAGTTAAGCTCACTAAAACTCCTTGAACTTTTACACCTCTATCATTGTCTATATCCATTTTGCATTAATCTTAATATTCTTAACATTTATATTTATATTCTAGAAATAGTTTCAAATTTGCACTTTCTATTGTATCTGTTTATGAAGAACATCCTTCTTGGACATATACATTGCTTCCAGTTTTCTGCTGTGAAGAGAAATCTGTGCGACTATCTGTGTCAGGAGTTTGGCTTCTTTTGAATTTCTTAGGATAAATTCCAATGAATAGAACTCATCTAATGGTTCTTGAAAATGGCCATGCTTTCCAAAAGGTATGATTCATTTTACATCCACTGATGTACGACTACATCAGTATCTCCACTGCTTTTTGTTAGTAGATAATTTAACTTATTTTGTAAAAGATTCTGTAACTTAGAATATATACATATGATTTATTTATTTTTCCTTTGATTATCAGCTAACATAACCACTTCCCTCAGTATTCATTCAGCCTTTGGAATTTTTTCTTGCCCACTTTACCCCTGTGATTGTGACAATTTTTTTTTAAAGATTTTATTTGTTTATTTGAGAGCAAGCGGGCAGGAGTGGGGAAGGAGGGGCAGAGGGAGAAGCAGACTTCCCACTGAGCATGAAGCCTGATTTGTGGTTCAATCCCAAGACGCTGAGATTATGACCTGAGCTGAAGTCAGACACTTAACTGACTGAGCCACCCAGGCACCCCCTGACAATTTTTATTCTAATAATATGTGAATTACTTCTTCATATTATCAACATTAGTGGCTTTATTTGTTGTAAATATTTTTTCCCAATTGCTGAAGTTTTTAGTTATACATTTTTTCATACTACAAAAATTCTTTTATAGATTCAAATGTCAACTTTGTGCTGTCATTTAATACCTCCACTAAATTTACTATACAGTAGGTAATAATTTCATCACTTTTTTTTTAAGTTTACCTCATTGCATATGAAATTTTAAATACAGGGACACCTGGGTAGCCCAGTAGTCAAGTGTCTGCCTTTGGCTCAGCTCATGACCCTGGGGTCCTGGGATCAAGTCCTGCATCAGACTCCCCACTGGGAGCCTGCTTCTCCCTCTGCCTATGTCTCTGCCTCTCCTCTCTCTGTGTGTGTCTCATAAATAGATAATATCTTTTTTAAAAAAATTTAAATATGGGCAGCCTGGGTGGCTCAGCAGTTTGGCGCCGCCTGCAGCCCAGGGTGTGATCCTGGAGACCCAGGATCAAGTCCCACATTAGGCTCCCTGCATGGAACCTGTTTCTCCCTCTGCCCAAGTCTGTGCCTCTCTCTCTCTCTGTTTCTCATAAATAAAAAAAATCTTAAAAAAAATTAAATATATACATTTAGCCTAATTAAACATTTCTGGGTTTTCAATTTGGCTCTACAACCATTACCTATGAAACCCACTGAAGGGTAGACACTGGACACTGATAAGAATAGCATGTACTGGCAGGCTACTTCCTGTATTTTGGGTCATGTCTGGAACTATCAATCCTTGGCCTAAACATTAGGGATGAACACTAACCAGACATAAAAATGAAAAATGTTAAAGTCAGTATGAAGAAAGCAATGATTTCACACATTTAAGACTCTTACCAGTACTCTTTGATTCTGCACAGGTGTTGTACTGAAAAAATCATCATGATCATCTTTTGGCAATTGTTCCAGAAAATCCCTCATTTGTTGCTTCCTTTTAAGAGTTCCCACTTTGGCAGTGATCTTAATAATTTGCTTCTCATCAGCATCACCTATCTTGCCTTAGGAGTCAGCAAAACATTTTAATAAGGATTTGGTTATTTATAGTAACTGCTCTAAATTTAACAGACTTTGTAAAATCTAAATTGTCTATTTATATTAAGCAAATGCATCCTCTATTAATAAGTCTCCTACATAACAAAAGATTCTTTCTATACTGGGATCTATGCAATATAATTAGCTCATAAGATATTCATGAAGAAACTACATCAGATTAGCCAAGGTGAGATGGAAAAGGTCTTCGCCCTCTCACATTCTCCTTGCTGAATGCCTAATTTGTTGATTTTCTAAAAATATAAACCTTACTGAATCAGGACAGGGATAGGATACTCCCAAAGGTTAGTCAGTATAAGCTCTGTCATAAACCCTGAGCAGGAATGTATACTCGGGAGGAATACAAAAACTAAATTTATTTAGAATTTTATTATGAATTTTTATGAGGCTCTACCCAAGTGGCTTCAAATTAAATAACTTTATTTTTTTTTAAAATTTATTTATGATAGTCACAGAGAGAGAGGGAGAGGCAGAGACATAGGCAGAGGGAGAAGCAGGCTCCATGCACCGCGAGCCCGATGTGGGAATCGATCCCAGGTCTCCAGGATCGCGCCCTGGGCCAAAGGCAGGCGCCAAACCGCTGTGCCACCCAGGGATCCCAAATTAAATAACTTTAAGGGGCAGCCCCAGTGGCTTAGCAGTTTAGCGCCACCTTCAGCCCGGGGCCTGATCCTGGAGACCCGGGATCGAATCTTATGTCCGGCTCCCTGCATGGGGCCTGCTTCTCCCTCTGCCTGTGTCTCTACCTCTCTATTTCTCTCTGTGTCTCTCATGAATAAATAAAGAAATTCTTTAAAAAAAATGAGACTTTTAATAAACCAGATACTGAAATCTTTGGATTTAGCTACAGATTTCCTGGAACAAACTCAAAGCACAAGTTTGCTCAGGCTATTACTGATGTACTTGATATCTAGATAAAAATTAAACAGATGATCTTTAAAATACTTTCTAGCTTTAAAATTTGGAGAAAACACCTTTATAAGACCACGACAAATGGATAAATATATTTAGCAAGTAGAAATCAATACTGAGAACTAGGAAAAACAAAAATTTACCATTTTGGCCTTTGGGATTGACTGTTTGTTTCTTAGTGACAGGTTTCTGGGTTCCTTTTCCTCTGGGATCTTCCAGGTATTTCCTCTGGCACTCTTCAGAAGATCGAGAACCTACAGCCATAGCTACATCTGACCAGAAACCAGGTTTGTGCTTTGGAAGAGATGCAAAAGCACTATGGAAGACCAAAACCAGTTAAAGACCAAGAAATTCAAATCAATAAAAACAACCTCCTGAATGCGTACCACTGTATCAATGAGATTTATTGAGCTAAAGGAATTTTAACCAAAATCATTCTAGATAACAGGGAAGAATTTTTTTCCCCTCCACACACAGCAACTTACTTGAGTGCTTAAAATATGAAGATGTAATTTAACGTATCTAGTACGTATCTCCTATTTTTTTGTATTCTATGAAACCTAAAAAATCATCTCAGGTCTTTTAACATCTTTTTCCTAAGTCCAACCATCAGTGATTTGATATTTTGGGGTGATTCTAGCGTGACTAACTTTTCAACACTGTTGTTCAAATCTTATTGGTGCTAAGTATATTGGAAAATGAGTTCTTAGTTCCTATATACTCTTGGTTATAAATTCTTACTATAAAGTGTTATTCTTGCTCTCATTCTATTATAATTTATAGAATGCAAGATTTTATATATATTGAGGGAAATGAAAATTGGAAGAGAAAAAAACCTGACAATATAAGTAGTCACCCAATTTAATAAATGAGTTACATTCTGAAAGTTTACTTGTAAATATTTAGAAACTGGTACACATATTTCTGCTTCCCTCACTCCCCAGATTTTACATGTTGTAATTTAGCTGACCGTTCAGCCAGAAAGGATCTATTTAACTCACCAATTAACCTATGAAGTATTATGCTGATAATTTTTTTTTTAAGATTTTATTTATTCATGAGAGACACAGAGACAGGCAGAGGGAGAAGCAGGCTCCATGCAGGGAGCCCAACGTGGGGACTCAATCTTGGGTCTCCAGGATCACACCCTGGGCTGAAGGCGGCACTAAACAGCTGAGCCACCCAGGCTGCCTGTATGCTGATAAATTTTAAAAACCGGCTCCCTGGGGTTAAAAAAGTCCTTATTTGTAGTGTTTGTCACTTTCCATACTGTAAATACCTCTATGATGGCTGGTTTCAGGCTACCAATGTGATTCCCTGAATGTGGAGTAAGAAATGTGTGAAAGGACACAATTATACAGAATTTCCACCATACAGATAAAATTGATATAAAGAATCTTAAGGCATAGATAATAATAATAAAATATATTAAAGTAATTAGGAAGTGATGAGTTTAGGGTATTAATAAATTTATTTAATTGTAAATCTATATGAATTAGCTTTTGTGAACAGTACAAGTTGACTACAGAATACCGCTCACTCCATGTAGAAGAGGAAGACAATTACAGGCATTAAACACTAACAAAGTCTCTACTTTTTTGCATAATTAATCATTCCACAGATGTTCTAGAGTGGAGAACTAAAAGGATTTGGAGGCTCAAGCTTCCCTATTTGTGTACACCATTAATTTCCAAGTGGAGAACTACCAACAGGACTATTTTTCATAATAAAAATACTTAATTCATTTAATAAATTAGTCTGTAATTAACCTATCTCTAGTTTATCCCAGATAATAAAAGGGCAAATATAATGTCACTCCAATCCTACTTAAAACTTGCTTTTACAGGTAACAGAGGGAGAAAAAAACTTGCTTTTATAACTCACTAGCATAAAATCCAAAGTATTTAATATGACTTACATTGGTCTTGTCTCTCTAATCCCCTCCTGTACTGTTCTTCCTTCATTTTCTGTACTCGTTATTTTGGTCTTCCATTATTTTGGTCTTCCTTCGGCATTTTTAAATATGCTTTCTTACTTCTACTTTTATATATGCCATTTTATTTAAAATGAACTTATAAAATTTGGCTTAAATATTTTTTATTTGTCCTTCAGATCTTAGTTCAAGTATCTGCTTAAGCTAAGTTAGATCTCAGAAACCTCTTAATTATTTGCTAACTAGGTTACAAGCATGATGAGTACAAAACAGTGAGATGCAACTAAGAATCACTTGAGGAGCTTACATCAAATGTACAAGCAAGCAGATGAGTTATTAAAATAAGCTATTAGACTACCCCTGTAGATTTCAATTTAGTAGGCTTGCAGTAGGAACACTTTGAATTTTTCAAAAGCTCCTCAGGTGGTTCTTCTGTACAGTCAGGATTGGATTTGCTTTATATTCCAAGAAGCATTAAGTATCATATCTAATTAAGAAAGAAGCATTATAACTAATTAAGTGGATAGTAGGAAGAGGTGATGACAAATAAAGGTTACAGGGAGGAGGTGATTGACATGTGAGATAAAATGTGAAGGATGGATAAAATGTAACAGGTGAAAATGAGGCAATGGCATTGGCAAAAAAAATGAAGATGAAGGAAGAAAAGGCCTAAGGTTAGAGAACAGAAAGTACTTCATATTTGTAGTATGGTTAATTTCAAAGGCATGGCTGCAGGTTAGAGCTTTGAAAAAAACTAGAAAAAAAGCAGAGCCTAAACCCAAGCCTGCTGTATCTAAATATTTTAATAGTATGCAGTCTAGGCAACTTAACATTCTTTTAAAGTTAACATATAGTAAAATTGTCTTTTTTGGGTATGGTTCTATGAATCTTAATGGATATGCAGATTTGTATAGCCACGATCACAACTGGGATACATAACGTTCCATTACACTGAAAAAATTCCTAGTGCTCCCTCTTTGTTGTCCAACACTATAACCGTTGGCAATCACTGATTTGTTTTCTTAGTTTGTCTTTCCAGAGTGTGATATAAATGGAATCATACAGTATACAAACTTTTTTTTTTTTTAAGATTTATTTATTCATGAGAGACAGAGAGAGAGGCAGAGACACAGGCAGAGGGAGAAGCAGGCTCCATGCAGGGAGCCTGATGTGGAACTCGATCCCGGGTCACCAGGATCCCGCACTGGGCTGAGGGCGGTGCCAAACCGCTAAGCTACCCAGGGTGCCCTAGTATATAACCTTTTGAACTGGCTTTTTTTTTTTTTTTCCACTCAGCATAATGCCTTTGAAATTCAATCATGTTGTTACATATATCAATAATTCTTTGTATTACTCAGTAGTCCATTCATTCTAATTCTGATTTATTTATGTAGAAAGTTCCATAGAAATCAAGAGATAAACTCTATAAAACTACCCTGTAAAGTTGTTTGTGAACTTCTGTGCCCACACCACAAATTTTGATATATCTTCATTTCTGTTCAGTTATCTTTTTTCCCACGACTTCTTCCTCTTTGACTCATGGATTATTCACAAGAGTGTTATTTAATTTTCCGCTAGTTGGAAACATTCCTGTTAGCTTTCTTTATTGATTTGTAGTTTAATTCAACTATGGTTAGAAAACAAACACCCTATGCATGACTTTAGCGATCTTATATTTAAGATTTATGACCTGGTCAGTGTTCTACCTGGTAAATGATCCATGTATTCTTGGAAAAAAATGTATTTTTCCCTCTATTGGGTGAACTGTTCCACAAATGTCAATTAGATCGTTGGTTGATGGTGTTGTTCAGTTCTACAGCCCTGCTGATTTTTTACTAGTCAATTACAGGAAAAAGCACTGAAGTTTCCAACTATAAAAGTGTTTTTACCTCTCTTTTCAGTTCAGTCATTTCCTTTTAGTTCTCTCAGATTTTGATTCATGTATTTTGAGGGGTTTTTTTGTTAGGTGCATATACATTTAGGATTATTGTCTTCCTGGAGAACAGACATTTCTATCATTTTTTAATGTTCTTTATCCTTGATAATTTTCCTGGTACTGAAATCTTTGACAGCTTTTAGTAACAGCTACTTCAGCTATGAGTTTTCAAGGTATTTTTTTTATCCTGTTTTTAACCTATCATATTTGAAGCTTCTCTTACATGGCACTAAGCAGGAATGTTTTTAAATTCATTCTGTTTTTTAAATGCTGCATTCAGACCATTAATAATTTTATTTGCTTTCTGCTTTGTTCTGATCTCCATTTCTGTTTCTCCTTTTCTGTCTTCTTTTTGGTTAAAAAATTTAAAAATATTTATCTATTATAAATTTAAAAATATCTCTGGTTTCTTAGTAGTTGCTCTAGAGATTGCTACAAACATACTTAATTACCTACTTAGAATCAGTATTTTACTGCTTCAATGCAAGAATGCAAAATTTGCCAGAAGTCTCTTCATCCTTCCTCTTTATATTGTAGTTGTTTTATGTATTAAATTTACATATATTGAAAACATCATACAAGGTAATATTTGCTATCAACCATTAAAAATTGTAAAGAACTGAAGTCTGCTGTATTTATCCAGGTAGTTACTATTTCTCCTTATTCCTTCATTCCTGATATTGACAGCCTCCTTCTTCGTTTCCATTGTTATTGAGCCTTTCTAGTAAGTTCATTTATTTTCTCAGTTCTAAAATTTTTATTTGATCCTTCTTTTGAACTCTTATATCTATTTTCTAAATTTCTATTCAAGAATATTTGCTTTCTGGGGCACCTGGGTGGCTCAGCTGGTTATGAAGCATCTGCCTTGGCGTATGCTTAGGTACTGGGGTCATGAGCAGTCATGATCCTGGGGTCCTGCTATGGAGCCCCTCAGCAGGCAGACTGCTTCTCCCTCTCCCTCTGCCTGCCACTCCACCTGCTTATGCTCTGTCAAATACATTAATTAATTAATTAAAATCTCCAAAAGAAGTTTGCTCTCCGTTCCTGAAGTTTTTTTTTTTTTTTTTTGACTAGCGATGTCTGTTCAGCCTTTATTGGCAGAACACACTACATAAGAGGGTTGAAGTGGGAGGAGTGGACAGCCCAGATGCCGGGCCTGCTTCACAGGTGGTGAAAAACTTGTCCAGGTAGTGGCCAATCATCTCCAGCTTGATTTCCATCTGGTTCAAAGTCTTGCCATTTAGACACCCACCTTACTGCCCACTATCTTGGACATGATGATCATGTCCCCTAGGTGCTCCTTAACCCCCCGAGATTTCTCCACAGGGGCAAGCTCCTTGGCCTTCCACAGATGCTCTTGCAGTGAGTGCGGATTCCTCTGCAAACCCCGGTTCAGCCTCCGCTGCTGCTGGGTGCTGTATAGCTTCATCATTGCTTGTGAAACTGTTCAGCAGCTGGTCAGGATCTGTGTTACATTAGGTGAACTTGTAGAAGGTATGCTGCTTCTGCTCTACTTCGGCCATCTCATCAGCTATTTGGAAAGTCTCCTAGAGCTTTTTTATATACCTGCTTCAGAACTTGTCAGATAATTACAACATCTGTGCTATCTCAGCATTAGCATGCCCCCCCCCCCTCCCCGGAGTTGAAATTTTCCTGTTTCTTTGTATACTAATTCTGGATTATTTCCTAGGCATTTTGAAATACTGTAAAACTCAGTCATGTTTATCTATGCAGAATGTCAATGTTTTTGTTTTAGCAGGCAGTCAATCTGACTATAACCTGAGCTATAAAATCCAATCTGTTTGGTGGTTGCAGTTTCAGTAGTTCTATTTTTAAAGTTTTCCAGTGCTATTAAAATATCCTGTGACTGGCTTGGAGACTGGGTGGCAGTCTGCCTCTTAGTCCCGTTCTCAGTCTTTGGTAGGCTGTGTAGGATCAGATCCTCACATGCAGTTCAGGGGTGAGCCCAGAAGTTCATAAACAACTTTATATGGGGTTACTTTCCCTAGCTCCTCCCCTTTGGAATTTTTAGTGCCCCAGGGTTCTTGTTTTTTTGGTTCTCTGGCAGAAATCTAGGCCTTTAGTTAGCCAGCTCTGCATACACTTCATGCAACTGCATCTTTCTGCAGTACTAAGTGGAAAGAGGACAGAAAGGACAGAAAGAGAAAAATGCAACACAGGTTGCCCTACCCCCATTTTATAGAAAAAGATTTTATTTGAGGGAAACAGAGTATGTATGCGTGGCAGCGGGGAGAAGGGGTAGAGGGAGAGGGAGAAGCAGACTCTTCGTGGAGCATGGAGTCCAAGTTAGGGCTTGATCCCAGGACCTGGGATCATGACCTGAACTGAAGGGAGATGCTTAACCAACTGAGACACCCAGGCACCCCAGCTGCCCTATATGTAATTAGAGGAAGGTTCCCTACTTTCAGAGTTTTTAAGTACACGTGGGCCCCATATCTGCTGTGATTTTCACCCTTGCAGGTTTACATGAAGACTGTGGTGTAAGAGGAAGGAGCAAAGAAAAAGAGAACTCAGGGACTTCTGTTTTAAGTTTTATAGTCCCCTTCCCTTCTCCTCAAATCAGAAGTGGAGGGCTTTTCTCTGAATTTAGTCCTGCCCCAGTGCCCACTTCTAGGTTTTAAGTGACCTTAATCTAGGTTAAGGAACACCAAAGGGAAAACTAGAAATATGCCCCCACTTCAGTGGTACTTAAAATTCTGGTCTTTTCCAATCAGCCTGTAACTATTTACCTTCCTGAATCAACAAAAAGCTCTCCGTGCATCCTGTCCAGGTTTCATAGCTGCACAGGAAAAAAAGACTAGAATGTGCTTTCCTTGTCTTACTGAGAAACTAGAATCTTAAGTTCAGGCATTAAAAGAATTATAGAGAATAAGGATATACAGTAAAGGTTGAGAATCTTTACTATAACAAAATGAGGGGATATACAGCTGGAAAGGATACTTAAGGTCTATATAATTTCAAGATTAGTAAGGATGCAGTAAATGCTTTTGATGTCAGAAGCACAACTATACATTAAAACTAATCTGGAAATATATAAAACAGATTACACAGATGATAACAACGAAGTAAAAATAAAAGGCTACTTCCAAAGTTCAGGTAGGTATCAGAAGTCTGAAAAAGAATAATGTGAAGAGAAAGGGTACAGATGGAATGATCTTGTGGAAAAATCTAGAGCTCCTTGGGAATTACTTTGATTTAAAACCAAAATCAGTAATGATAAGATTTAAACCTAGTTAACTGAAAGAAATTACATTTTCAGAATCAGAAATGTTAGGCCAAGCAGATTGGCAGGGGAAATAAGTTTTTTAGTTTAGTTTTTGACATATTAAGTTAGAGTCTCTGTGAGATCATGAAGAAATGTCCAATAGGCAAAGAGAAATACAATTTTTTTTTAAAGATTTATGACAGAGAGAGAGAAAGCACTGGGTGGAGGGCAGAGGGAGAGGGAGAAACAGGCTCCTACTGAGTGGGGAGACTGACCTGGGGGCTTTATCCCAGGACTCTGAGATCATGATGCATAACTGAATGACCCACCCATTTATTCCCATGGGAAATACAAATCTAAATACAAAAATTCAGGACTAGAAATATAGATTTGGAAATCCCTGTTCAAAGAGTGAAGTTAGATCTTGGAAGGAACAGATCAGTGAGGACTACATTATCATAGCAAGAAAGCACCCAAAATCAAGAACTTTGGAAAAGGAAAATTCTCTGTCTTAAAAATAAGAGAAAGAACATTTAGGAAAATGAAGAACAGAGTGGCACAGAAATTTCAAGAAGAGTGTTTCAAGAAGGTGGATCTGAAAATGAATTCCAAGTGTTATAAAGTTAGGGAGTACCCAAGCAAATGAATCACTGAACGTGGTTTCTATCTTCTTTCTTATCAATCACATCTTTTCTTTCCACGAGATCATTTCCATCAGCACACTACCATACTCTGACTAGAGTCCTCTTATAAACAAGTAAGCAATCAAACATATATCTTCCCTTACCTTCACACTTTTCTATTACCTATCCACTTGCTTGTTCCCTATCACTGCCAATTTCTTGTGCTGTCCACCTAGGTTGTCTTTACTGTTTCATTCACTCTCATTGCTCACTATGCTCTAGCTTCCAATGCACTATTCAAATTCCTTGTCCAGTCTATGCAGGCAAATCCAATTCTTGTCATACTTGGTTTATCAGCAGCACTAACCATGAAACCTTGGATGTATCACCTAATTTTTGAAGCTATTTCTAGTCTAGAAATGTAGGGAGAAAGGCCGTATTAAATAATCTGCAGGTATGAATTCAGTTTTAAGGTTTCATAATAGTAAATTTAACTATAAAATATTTCTTAAAATATGATGATCTGAGACATCATGATCATAATATAGACAGCAGCATTTGTCTATATTAAAAAATTTTTCCCCACCTTAATTGAGGTATAATTGTCCAATAAAATTATATAAACCATACATGGGATCACTTGATATACATGTACAATATGAAATGACAACCAAAATCCAGTTAAATATCACATCCATCCCCTCACCCTTTTCTTGAGTGGGAGGGTAGCTCTCTTACAACATTAAATGGGAAGAAAGGAAGATTAACTTTTCCTTTACTCATATGCAAGCTGTAGAGATGGCCACAAAGTACTTACTTAGAAGTTATCTGTATTCTCCCTCATTCTTTGTATAGATTGTTATTTTTCTGCAAAAGTTTGGGTTATCTTCCATATTAATGATTAGAGGTCACTAAATCAGCCCTTCATTGGAATTTTTAGGTTTTCAACTGTTTGGTGACTACTCTCGATATTTCGGAGTGGTCTACTACTTACCAATCTAACTACTTACCAATGAAGTTTCTGTAATTCTTTCTCATTCCATTCTTCATCCTGAATTAGACCAGGAAAGCATTCAAAGGAATGCTTATTTATCTCATCAGTTCCCCTTGCCTCAATAATTGGAGACTCATTCCTAATACCAGATTTCTGAAGACTGTCTTTAACAGAACATCTAGCTTTCTTTTGTTTGATATAAAATTCACTTTCACTTTCTTCAGTTTCAGATTCAGAAATCACTGAGATTTTCCTTGTGGCAGCTCTTGTGCTTTTCCTCAGGTGAACCACTGTTTCTTTGGTATTTCTTGCTCTGGTTGTCTTAGCAATTCCAGATTTCTTTCTAATTCCCTTTTCTGTTTCACTTTCTTCACTAGACAAATCTGATGAGGACTGATGCTTGTGAAATGACATAGTTGTATTTTTTATTTTCTTCAAGTTTGGTAACAACCTTGTATTTTTCTTAGAGTCAGAGGTGACTGTTTGTTTCTTTTTAGGACTAGGTATTTTCATTTTCTGGTTGACAGTGAGTAAATCACATTCATTGCAATCTTCCTTGCTTTTACTTTTATGATCCACACTATACTCAAATGCATTTTTGAAGGTCTTTGTGGGCTTACTGATCAAATTTGTAGTTCCATTTAAATGTGATTTGCTTTCTTTTTGATGCTTTGGCACTGCAAAATCTGTTACTGCTTTAATGGTATCACAGGACAGATCATACTGCATGCATTTTTGTTCTATTATTTTTTTAGATTTAAGAGGTGTCACTAAAACAAAAACTTCCTTCTGATTAAGAGGCATACATTTCCTTTCTTCATCTGAGAAAAACAGTTGCCTTGAGGTTAGAATGTCAATGGATACATTCGATTCTTCAGTTCTTTCTTTTCATAAGACAAAACCAAAGATCAAAATCTCAAATTAGCTACAATAAAATAGAGCAATAGAACACAGAAATTTTTTTCTAAAATAAAATATATTGGTTTCCCCCCATAAACTCCTTTGTTTTTTTTTAAGATTTTTTTTAAATTTATTCATGAGAGAGAGAGAGAGAGAGAGAGAGAGAGAGAGAGAGAGAGAGGCAGAGACACAGGCAGAGGGAGAAGCAGGCATCATACAAAGAGCCCGACATGGGACTCGATCCCGGGTCTCCAGGATCACGCCCTGGGCTGCAGGCGGCGCTAAACCGCTGCGCCACCGGGGCTGCCCCATAAACTCCTTTGTAAACACTACTGTCATTATTAGTCTTCCTGAAGCACCAGTCTGCTCAATTGTAAACATAATTTTTTATGCCAACCAGACTAAGTATTCTTACGGTTACTTAGTGTACACATAAACCCTGTCTGGCCTTCAACATAGTTCTAATTTCTCACAGTAGTCAAATCTGAACAGTATTCTATGTCTACTAGACCACTATTTCTCCAATTTGCTTGATTCTCAACTTTTACTAATATCATTCTACTTGGAAAGTTTTCTTCATTCAAACTAAATCACTACCTGTTTTAATTCCATTTTCTAATCAGCGTAGTCCACAAACTTTGTCCTGATTCCCTCAACTAAATGAAAGTTCTCCTTCAAATTTCAAGAATACTTTTAAATAATGCCATGTTTGACAATGTGCCCTTCATTATAAATACAGACTTGTCTTATCTTTGAATAGATTGGAAAAAAATCCTTAAGTGTAAGAATTTTGTCTTCATTTTTTTTGGATTTTTTGTTGTTGTTGTTGGAGTTAGTACAGAACCTTTCACATGTACAGCAAATTATAAATCCAGTAAAGATGTATCACCTTAAGTATTTGAAAAAGTGTATTTAAAATGATGTATAGTTTTGTGATTTAAAAAAAAAATAGGGGTGCCTGGCTCGCCCAGTTGATAGAACATGTGATTCCCGTTCTTGGGGTTGTCAGTTTGAGCCCTATGTTGGGTATATAGTTTACTTTAAAAAAAAAAAAAGGTTAAAAATATAAAAATTATTTAGTACCTAGATAAGGCAGGCAAACCTACAAGTAAATATAAGTAATGCTTATCTTACTATACAAATCATGTTATATAGAAAAACCTGAAAGTAATAACAGTATGTTAATTATGCTTCAATTAAAGAAAAAAAGGTATTCTTAAAAAGAAAAACAAAACAAAGAAACCCCTACATTTATAATCATTGAAATTCTTGGTTGCCATTTTATTTTTTTTTAAATTTTTATTTATTTATGATAGTCACACACACACACAGAGAGAGAGAGGCAGAGACATAGGCAGAGGGAGAAGCAGGCTCCATGCACCGGGAGCCCGACGTGGGATTCGATCCAGGGTCTCCAAGATCGCGCCCTGGGCCAAAGGCAGGCGCTAAACCACTGCGCCACCCAGGGATCCCTTGGTTGCCATTTTAGATTTGGAAATTTAATCACTTTTATTAAAAACATTTCAAATAAGAGCTGTTTCTTACAAAACCAATAAAGATATATCACCTTGCTTCTGACTTGTAATTATCCTTTCATTTGTTCTTTCACAATATTCAAGTTTCTCTGAAAACAAGTTTTCATTTTCTTTCTTTCCAATTAATTCCTTCAAAACAAAAAGATAGCTTTTTACTTTAATAACGACTACCTATAAACATTACCTCATGTATTTTCACAGTATATATTAAGCATATAAATATCTATAGGTACTTTTAGTTCATACTTTATTAATGTAGACATTCAGAAACTCATTTGCCAGAGCTTAAGCTTTGGAAGCACCATGTGGGTATCTACTATCTTAGAGATTTCCTTTATTGATTTAATACCTGTGATATGTCAAGTGTATATATCTACACACTCTTTAACTTAAGCCTTACTCTAAAAGCTAAACTTTGTTATTATTGACTGCACTCTTCCTTTTTAAAAAAAATGTTATCTATTTATTTATGAGAGACACAGAGAGCGGCAGAGACATAGGCAGAGGGAGAAGCAGGCTCCCTTTGGGGAGCCTGATGTATGACTTGATCCCAGAACCTGGGATCATGCCCTGAGCTGAAGCTAGATGCTCAACTGTTGAGCCACTCAGGCATCCTTGACTGCACTCTTCCAATGAGACACTGAGAAAATAAGTATCAAGACATTGCCAAGACTAACAAAAGGCTGATATTTACCAAAAAGAATTCATGATTTCTGACTTGGTCCCAAACATTTTTAGTAGCATCATACTACCACTCTACATATCACAATGTACAGTAAAAGCTTACCTGATTAGGTAAGTCATTTCTTTCTCCATTTTGAAAAGTATTATTTATTTGGTCATCTGGAAGCCTTCCTGGTGGCTTATTTTGGCAATTACCATGGCACACGTTTAATTTTATGGTTCTTGGCAACCTACGGTGCTTACCATTTTTCAGTTCTATGAGTACAAAGAAGGAGATTTCAACAAATTATTATACAGAAGATAAGCTGCCTTTCCACGTTAATGAATTCATTTTCAAAACATGTTATCTAGAAAGAGCAGTAAGTTAATGTTCATATTTTTTTCCAGCAGAGGGGAGAGTGGGATGTGAGGCAGATTATAGTTTTGACAGAGTTGACACAACAGTTCTGCCAGCTATCTTTACAGCAATGATCATTCAAAAAACATGCCATTCCCTCCATGAAAGCAAACTGGTTCATCTATTAACAAAAATGTAATTTAGTATAAAAATATAGGCATCTATAATACAGGTCTAAGCTAGGTTGGTAGCCTAAATACCTTAAATCTAGGAAACTGAAATAACAATCATTTTTTCACTGACATGTTTATCAGTGTTGTTGGTACTCTAACTAAAAGGTAATATTTAAAGAAGTAAGCTGAATGCTAAGAGCAGACTGTACTGCACTTTTTCAAGTATTAAAAAATAAGAATTTTAGGGCAGTGGTAAATCAAAAACTCAATACAGAATAAACTATAAACAGATAAATGTGGAGCTCACGTACGAATCTACCACTATACCAGGAGGAAAAAAGCAAACATACCCAAATGACAACAATCAACGTCATAAGTAGTTCTGGCTCTTTGGAGAACATCCGTTTGGTTTTCTCTTGCATTACTTTTGGAGGATTTTTGTACGTCAGAGTCAAATCTTCCAGATTTCTGTTTTTGTCTGGCCTTTTGCTTTCTCTTTTCACAAGCCCTAAAAACAAGTGTAGTATTCTTCCTCTAGTATTTTTTTCTCAAAAAACAAAAACACTAAACATACAAATAAAGTCCCTCTGATAAAGCTTTTCTCCCCTCAGCAAAGATTACCTTTACTCTTACATTATTTAAGCCTTTATGGCTTCTACCCTATCCCCCACAAAGAACTGAAGGGTAACACCTTAAGTCAAAACAATCAAATTAAACCTGTGTTTACTACTCTATGCTTTTATTTTCTACCTAAGCTAATATTCTAAGATAATTATAGGACAAATCCTGCCAGTTGCCTAGTTTTGGAAATAAGTTTTACTGAAATACCACCATATTCATTTATTTAAGAACTGTCTCTGACTTGACGGGATGAGCACTGGCTGTTGTTATGCTACATGTTGGCAAACTGAAGTCCAATAAAAAAAATGCCAAAAAAATAAAATAAAATAAAATAAAATAAAATAAAATAAAATAAATAAATAAAATAAAAAGAACTGTCTCTGGTTGTTCTTCCATTACAAAGGCAGAGCTGAATAGTTGATAGAGGTAGCATGCCCATAAAAATACTTCCTATCTGGCTCTTTACAGGAAAAAACTGCTCACCCTTGCATTATAAGTTATTAAAATTGTATTGTCATTAGTTAATTTAGATCACTTTATCTCCTATGAATTCCTTTAACTCAAGAGTTAACCAAATTTTCTTTGCTTTTCCTGTGGCAACACAGTGTCTGCCAAGTAACTGACAGTAACTACTGAAGGAATGAATGAAAGAAAAAAGGACCAAGAACTTTATATTCATGTTTAACAGCCTCTTAAAGGCTGGGTGAATAAGGATGATCTGTAAAATGTCAAGTGTTTTTTTCCTTTTAGATTTATTCCACACGACAGAAATTCTAGTAAAGTATTACTGCTTTATAAAAATCCAAGATCAGAGAACTTAGAAACTAGCATTCCCCCCACAAAAGAAATTAAAACCAAAATGAACAGATACATTTATAAAAGCTCCTCAAATTTTATACCTAAAATGGGTACATCTTATCATATGTAAATAATACCTTAATAAAATTGCTTTTTAAAAAAGTTAAGAAGTATACTTTACCTTAATTGTTCTAGAAAATTATCAATATGCTCTTTCCATTTTTCTGGAAAGCCAAACATAAACTTCCTTATGAGATAATATGGATATCCTATTTAACAATAACAAACAAAAAATTATCTAAAAGCTGATAATTTTAAAGACATGTCATTGGTTCATTAGATCACTGAAAAAATATATACTTATTGCTTACTTTGTGCTGAGGCACTGCCACAGATACTAAGGATTCAGCAGTTAACAAAACAAAACAAAACAAAACAAAACTTCTTGCCTTCATAGAACTTGCCTTTTAGTGTGAAACAGAAAGCAAACCAATTAGTAAAAACATTCTGTTTGTTAGTTGGTCATCAATGCTATGGAGAAAAATTATGCTGTCAAAGGGCAACAGGATAGTAGTGTATTTTTACTGGGGGAGGAGAAAGGGAACAGGCAGCATTTTTATAAAGACAGAGAGGTTCTCACTGAAACAGCATCATCTGAGTAAGCTTTGAAGGACATCAGGGAGTGAATCATGTGGCAATATGGGATTAAAATACCAGAAGCAAAGGGAACAAAGTCAAAGGTATGAAGTAAGAGTGTGCTTGGCTTGTTTGAAAAATTAGTATAGAGGAACATGGAAGGTGATAAGGCTTTGGGGTCATTTTATGGACCCAGTCTTTTACTTTGGATGAGATGGGAAGCTACAGAGAGATAGCAGGGGAGCCACAGGTTTTGACTTACTTTAACAAGACTGTATTAGCTGCTATTTTGAGAAGTTTATGGAAATACAAGTGATAAAATAATGATACCAGTTAGGATTCTGCAATGATTCAGACAAAAGATAAGGAGGTCTGGACCACAGAGGTCAGCAGAGGCCTGGCTTCCAGATAAATTATGGAGATAATGTCAAAAGGGTATACTGACCCACTAGATATGGGTGTGAGAGAGACTGTAGATTCAAGAGGTCTCCAAGGCTTCTGGCTAGCCACTGGAAACAAGGGGAAGACTGTTACCTATACAGATTTCAGGGCGAAGACCAGGTTTTAAACATGTGAAGTCTGAGATGCCTGCAGACATCCTAGTGGAGATGTCAGATTGGCAGATGGAAAATGAGTTGAATGGCTTGTGGAGTTTTTTTGGTAAGAGATATAAATTTGGCATTTGTCACCATACAGATGAGATTTAAAGCCTAAAAGAAATCAGCACACCATTGAGTGTATACAAAGAGCCATAGTCTACCCCATTATTTAAAGGCAAAGAGGAAAGAGCAAAATAAACAAATAAACTAAGAAGGAGTAGGGAATCAGGCAGCATGAAAATCTGAATAAGGTATTCCAGAAGGCAAATAAACAAGTATTTTAAGGAGGTAAGTATGACTAACTGTGATAAGCATATACTAGGTTTAGCGATGTGGAGGCCACTGGTAGCCCCGATAATGGCCGTTTGGTAAAGAACTGGAGTTTAAGGCATGATTAAAGAGAATCTTTTAAAAATGGGAAAAGAATTCAAGGAATTAGAATCTTCTGAGCTATTTTTGCTGTAGATACTGGCTGAAACAAGTGAGGTTAAAGGGGTTTTTGTATTTGTCTTGACAGGATAAGGAAGAATTAATGGAGTGAGATCCTTAAGTGAAAGAGGGAAAATAGGAAGGAGAGTACAAATGGAGAGGTTGACATAGACAGGAACACGGACAGTTCATTCATAACAAAAGCAGGTACAAATGCAAGCACGTCAGTAGATGTGACAGTGAGGTTCTCATCTGATTATTTCTATCGCTCAGGTGCTTCCCTCCTTCCCCCTAGCACCTCTCCTCTGAGAGGAAAAAAGGAGGTATTGAAAGTCTGTAAAAATAAAATAGTCATCAAGGAGGATGGGAGAGTGAATGCAATAGGGAAACATGGTAGGATACCAATGGGCACTAAGAGACCACAACTTGTTGCTGGTAATCACAAACTTAAAGTAGAATACTCAGGTGTGTTTTTCTTCAGTCACATTATTGTGTACAAGGCATAGGCAGAAAATTAGATTATAAGAGGACTGGGGTTGTGTTGGGCACGTTCAATTTGAGAGAAATTATAGCCCTATAAAGCAATTCCTCATATAACAACATTTCACTTGAATAATTAAAAAAAACACTGGACTTATTTAAACTGTCAATAAGAGTGATTAAATCAGAGAAAAATAACACACACAAAAAAATAATCAACACATATAAAGTAGTTTTACATAACGTGGTCAATTGTTTTAATTCATATTTTTTAAACACCTAATTAAGAGTAAAAAATATTTATCACTGTTAGAAATATGGTTAATTGCTTTAAAGTAATTTCTATAATCAGAGTTATTACCTGCTTCTTTCATGGAAATCCGGTCTATCATTCCTTTTAATATATAAATATTGCCTGATAAAGTCCTAAGTGTGTTGTGTGCAATCCGTTCTATAATGACATTACTGTGCCAATATACATTAGTGATGTCTCTAGGAGAAAATAGCTTAGTTAAGGCCAAAATATTCACATTTTACCAGTAATCACAATGGACATATGTAAGTATAGAAACTTAAAACAGAAAGTAATAAATTCACACTCCAGCTACATTAGTAATATTATTCATCTAATCAGAAAACATCTGAGGGCCAAACACTGCAGCAGAACTCAACTGCCTGGCTTATGTGATCCATTAGAGTATGTACCAAGAAACTGTACGGTGGCCAAACCAAACCACTAATATAAAATTTATCAGCAGGGAAGCTAGGAGCTTCTCTAAATAACTGGTGTTGACAATGCTTGCAACTTCATCTTATCTGATGCCATTCCAAAGAATGATTTTGCCGTCCATCTCCTCATAGTCTATACCTGTGACTGTGTTAGCTTTCATCCAGTTACATAGTTTGGATCCCTCAATCTGCATTTTTTTTTTTAACTCTCACTAGACACCCAAATATTTTTACCTTCCTCTTTGAAAAGTACCAAAAAGAGATTCTAATTGGGAAAAAGACAAACTGCAAGATCAAATCATTAACCCATAGATCTACTCTTCATATTTTCTTAAATGAAGCTAAGAACATAAAGAGAACAGGGCACCTGGGTGTCTCAGTTGGTTAAGCATCTGCCTTTGGCTCAGGTCATGATCCCAAGGTTCTGGCATCAAGCCCCACATTGGGATCCCTGCTCAGGGAGGAGTTTACTTCTCCCTCTGCCCACCTCTCCCTGCCCCAGCTCATGTTCTCTCTCTCTCATGCTCACTTGCTTTCTCTCAAATAAATAAATAAATAAATAATCTTAAGGAAAAAAAAATAAAGATATATTAAATGTTGAACATTCCCAATTCATCAATCAGTAACAAACACACTAAATATAAGAATATGACTGTTTGGTCAAATGGGATTAAACTCATACATACTTTAAGACAGTCATCTGTGCTTTTTTTTAATTTAATATTTAAACAGCACTCCAAAAGCACTGTTCTGAAGTCTTACAAATATCAACTACTTTAATATTCAAAATAACCCAAATAATAGGTAATATCATTATTACCATTGTGCAGATGAAGAAACTAAGAGTGAAAAAGGATAATAGCTTGCCCACACCATATAATTGGTAAGAGCAATGGTATTACAACAAAGGCAACACAAACTGCCTCTCTCATATTAAGGAAATGCACACAAGACAATTAGATATTCAGTGGGCAAAACAGATTTTATTCATTTATTTTTTAATTTTTCTTTTATTTTTTTAAAGATTCTATTTATTTATTCATGAGAGACACACACAGAGAGAGAGAGAGAGGCAGAGACACAGGCAGAAGGAGAAGCAGGCTCCATGTGGGGAGCCTGATGTGGGACTCAATCCTGGGACTCCAGGATCACGCCCCGGGCTGAAGGCAGGCACTAAACCGCTGAGCCACCCAGGGATCCCAAGACTGATTTTAAATAGTCAACTTATAAACTTCTGGGTAAGTACCCTGAACAGTGATATCCTATATTATTACAACCTTTTATAACATTTTTTTTAACCACTAAGAAACTGGTTTTGAAAAAGAGAAAATGGTGCAAATAGAATAGGAGAATTAGGCAAAGCCCACTTACCTGATGATGCTTTCACTTTAGAGAGAACCAGAGAGTGCCAAGGATTACTTAACATGTAGCTGTATGGCAAAGTTTTAAATAATTCTGATTCCTTTTGTGGATCAGTAATTTAGATCTGGTTGTCCCAGTTTAGATGTGAGAATCTGGACTGAAATGCATGTAGTAAATATTAACTAACCATATATAATTAAGCAGAGAACACCAGTCCACTTATTAGTACCTCTGCAAAAAATAAAGCACTCTATATACAAATTTGAGCTGTTACTCTTAAAAAAAAAAAAAAGATTTTATTTATTTGTTCATGAGAAACACAGAGGGGGGGGTGGGAGGCAGAGACACAGGCAGAGGGAGAAGCAGGCTCCATGGGAGCCCGACCTGGGACTTGATCCTGGGTCTCAAGGATCACACTCCGGACTGAAGGTGGCGCTAGAGCGCTAAGCCACCAGGGGTGCCTGAGCTGTTACTATTCTAAAAGTAACTTAAGGGATCCCTGGGTGGCGCAGCGGTTTGGCGCCTGCCTTTGGCCCAGGGCGCGATCCTGGAGACCCGGGATTGAATCCCACATCGGGCTCCCGGTGCATGGGGCCTGCTTCTCCCTCTGCTTCTCCCTCTGCCTATGTCTCTGCCCCCCTCTCTCTCTCTATCATAAAAAAATTAAAAAAAAAAAGTAACTTAAACAGGTGAAAACAAGAAATCTGGTCACAATCAACATGGCCAGCTTCTGCACAGGTCTTTTACTTTTCTGGCTTAAGTTTGTAACCTTGTTACAAAGTCTTTGTTTTGTAATAAGATGCATCTCTTTTTACCTCTTATGCACAAGTTTTTGTTACAAATTTTATTAGGATGCCGAAATGTTATACTTACGTCAATTTTCCTTCGACACATACAGCAGTATTATTATTAATGATTTTAATCATCCATTCCTGTAGCCGGACCACCTAATCAGCATAAAATCAAGTGTTTATTTCCTGTGTTACTTGTAGCAAAAATTACAAAAATCTATTTATATTAAAAAACTCATATAAGTAATCCAAATGATTCTTTAGTGCTCATTTCTATATATACATTCTATTTTAAATAGCATTTAGGTAAAAAAACTCTTGTATACAATGAATAGAAAAGAGGGAGATTGAATGGAGGTTATACTGCACAATTTGTTCTCCAATCCAGAATCAGTTATACTTCAAATATTCTTCTAACAAATACTTCAGCCATTGGAGAGAAAAAAAAAAAAATCACCTAAAATTCTAGGGTATCATTAAAGACCTAACTTAAAGAGTCAGTTGTATAGTATACACTTCACCATCATTCTTATCCCTAAAACACACAGCATTTTTCTTTCTTTTTTTTTTTGCAAAGTTGATTTGAAGTTGCATTCAATTTTTTTTTAAACTACAAACGTGATTGCTAATAATCCATATTTAACAGCATCCTATTCCAAAGCAAACATCTAAACAGCTCAGAGAATGCTTTAGGACAGAATCCTATTGTAGAGGAAAATTTCTATGAATGTGTTGAGACATTGCTTCTACTGAGTCAAAACTTAACGCTGAACTATTTCTGATGAGAAATTCAGCAAAAGCTATAAAATAATTTGAGTAGCCATTTACTTTACATACAAAAAATTATAATTTTATAAGGAGAAATTCTTCAGTGGTAGTTTTATGTTGGGCCAGAAAAAGATGCTAAAATGGAAGGTGCTCTTTGTTATTGCACTTCTCCCCAATTATGTTTATTTTTATTTTTTCCTTAATCATGTTCATCTTTAATATCATAGGTATTGGAACAAACAATGAAATGCCTTTCTTTTTTAAAAAATATTTTCATATTTGGAACTATCTAAGATAGATAAAGAACAGTCACATGGAAATGAGTAAAATAATAATACTAGGCAATGTTCCAAGCCTCTTAAGATTCAAATGACTCATGTTATCCTGTAACACTAGGAGGCAGATAATATCCCATCTTCATTTTATAGATAAAGAAACTGTAAAGTCTAGTTAAATAATTTGCCCATGTCACACATAGCTAGTTAGGGGCACAAATTGATTACAAATCTGGGAATTGTGGCTCCAGAATCTTGTACCATCCTGCTTACATAAAATATCAAAATGTTCATTCATATTCATTCAGCAGATTTTTTGAGCTCTGCTATGTGCCAAGCCCTGTTTTAGGCAGTGGATTCAGCAAGAAACAAAATGGCTGCCCTGTTAGAGCAAACGTGTGTGTATGCTCTCGTGCACTCACAGGGGTTGGGGGGTAGATGTGTAGAAGCAAGTGGAGTGGTGGTGGTTATATCCAAACAAATGGACGAATAATGTATGGCAGTGATAATTATAAAAAATAAGGCATGCTTACTCAGATATGATAGGGAAGGTCTTGGAACATAGAACCAAACAAAGTAAGGGTAAGACATGGGTTAACTGGGAGTAGATTCTTCCAGGCAGAGGGAACAGGTACAAAGGACCTAAACAGCACAGAAGGCACAGTAGTAGTAAGCAAGAGAGCAAGGTGGGGAAGGGTTGTAAGAGATGAGGTTAGGCACGTCAAGGACTGAATTAGGTAGAGTCCTGTAAACAAACTATGGGAAAGGCTTAAGGTTTTCTCTTGAGATAAGTATTATTGGAGGATTTTGAGCAGAGTAGCCAGATGACTTAATGAGTTGATGGGTAGAAATTGAGACTATATAAAGATTCTAGCAGGACACTTGGGAGGCTCAGTTGGTTAAATGTCAAACTCTTGATTTCAGCCCAGGTCATGACCTCAGGGTAATGGGATCCAGCCCCACACAAGGCCTGCTCCATGGGGAGTCTGCTTAAGATTCTCTCTTCCTCTGCCCCTTCTGCCCATGTATAATTTTTTTTTTTTTTTTTTATGATAGTCACAGAAAGAGAGAGAGAGGCAGAGACATAGGCAGAGGGAGAAGCAGGCTCCATGCACCGGGAGCCCGATGTGGGATTCAATCCCGGGTCTCCAGGATCGCGCCCTGGGCCAAAGGCAGGCGCCAAACCGCTGCGCCACCCAGGGATCCCCCTGCTCATGTATATACTCTTTTCCTCTATGGTAAATAAATAAAATCTTAAATAAAAAAAAAGAAAAGAAGAAGATTCTGGGTTCTGTCTGGAAAACAGAATGAAGGAGAAAGAGGCAACAGAGAAAGCAAGGAAATAATTAGGCTATTGTAGTTATCCAAGAGATTATGGTGCTCTGGACTAGTAGGCACTGGTTGAGTAGTGAAAAGTAGACAGATTCAGGATAGCAGAGCCATCAGGATTTCCTCATGGTTTGGATGTGGATTATGATAGAAAAACAAGAGTCTCAAATAAATTTAAAATTTTTAACCTAAGTATCTGGGGAAATGGTATTACTATGTACCATTAGGAGACCCAACAGAGAGAAGTTTTGGGGGAAGAAATCAAGAGTTTAGTTTTGGACATATTAAACCTGAGATGGCTATTAGATATCAATGGAGAAGTCATATAGAGAATTGATTATGTGAGTAGAGGGTTTAGGAGAATGTTCTGGACTGGAGATATATATTTGGGAACTATCAGTAGAGAAATGGAAAAAAAAGAAAGAAATGGAATTCAAAGCTACAGCACTGGATAATACAGTTTTACAGAGTGTGCATGGGTACTAGAGAATCAGTTTCAAGGGCTGATGCTGGGGAATTCCAACATTATAGGTTATGACAAGAGGAAGCAGCAAAGGGGAATGAGAAGAATGGCCAGTGAGATAGTAGAAAATTAAGAGTGTGATATGGAATTCAAAAGGAAAAGAAATACAGTGTTTTAAGAAGGATATTTTGATTCACTGTGTTAAACCCTTGGAAGCAACAGAATAGTAAGAAGTAGTTAATTATTGGTGATAATACGGAGATCACTGTGATACGGAGATCACTGTGAACTTGAAAAGGGCAATCTTCATGGAATGATTTATGAATGTCCAAAGTAGAACATATTTAAGAGGGAGTAAGAAGAAGCAAAAACTGTGAATACATATACTTCTTTCAAGGTGTTTTGCAGGAAGCAAAAAAAAAAAAAAAAAAAAAAAATGGGGTGATAGAAGGAATGGGATAGGGAGTAAAAGGAAGGTGGACTTTTTTTTTTTTTCATTTTTTAAAAATGCAGGCCATGTTTCAGCACATTAATACACTAATGGGAATTTTCCAGATGAGAGAAAATTATGGGGATAATTAGAGGGACAAAGTCCTTTATTTAGGTAGTAAGAGGAAATGAACTGGCTTTGAAAAGGGAACACAAATTGTTCATCCATTATAAGAAAAAGGAAAGCAGAATTATGTGGATAGAGCAGCAAGTAAATTGGCAGATTTGGTAATGGGAATATGAGGTTCTTAATACACTGAGAATAAGGAAGAAGAGAGATGTGATTTGGAGGTTTTAAGAGAGAAAAGCATGACATACTATTCTGGGAAGGTCAGAGTATAGGATGGATTGACAAGTGAAGTGTAGCAGGACTGATATGCAATACTGAGAGCCTACTTAATGTTTGCTGTCAAATTTGTTTTTTAAAAAAGATTTTATTTATTTATTCATGGGAGACACACAGAGAGAGGCAGAGACATAGGCAGAGAGAGAAGCAGGCTCCATGCAGGAAGCCGGATGTGAGACTCAATCCCGAACTCCAGGATCACGCCCTGAGCCAAAGGCAGACGCTCAACCACTTAGCCGCCCAGGCGTCCCTGTTTGCTGTCAAACTTAAAATGAGACCAGTCGGTGTGACTGTGCATTTTGGTTCCAGTCACATGTTACCTTTTAAAAAAATATATTTTAGAGAGAAAGGAGTGGAGAGAGGGAGAGGGAGAAAAATTTAACTAGGGTCACAACTTTTTTGAAAGTGAACAGAGGGAAAAGCTACAGACACCTGAGAGTTAAATCAAGGGAATGGTTATAATGATAGGACTGTGCAATCTGTAAGATAAAGATGGAGATGAGGACAGGAGAGCACTGAGGGGACTAAAGGGTTGCCTTAGTAAGATGGATTATTGATGGTGGGGGAGAGGGAAGAGTGCTAGGGGTAGAATGATCTGGAAAGGCAGGAGTTGGTGAGAGCAGGATGCTTGAAAGAATCTGGTGCATGTACTGGCAAAGACAAGGTATGAGTGTGACTAGGGTAGAGAGTAATGGTAAGGAAAAGGTCATTTAAAATCAAGAATTCAAGAAGGCTGGATGGATCATCTATATAGATGTTAGTGTCACCAAAGCTGATGACAGAAGTAGTAACAGGTGTTAAACACTTCAATGGTAATGCAAAGTCATGTAATGCAAAGTCATGACTAGCAGGTTGTATTACATGTGACTACAAGAAGGAACAGGGAGTGATAAAATCCTAAGACACTGCCTTCAAAGAAGCTGGAAGGGGGGTTATATTAAAGAGAAGGAAGGGGGATGCCCAGGTGGCTCAGCGGTTGAGCTTCTGCTTTCAGCTCAGGGTGTGATCCTGAAGTCCTGGGATCGAGTCCCACATTGGGCTCCCTGCATGGAGCCTGCTTCTCTCTCTCTGCCTGTGTCTCTGCCTCTCTCTTTCTGTGTCTCTCATGAATGAATAAATAAAATCTTTAAAAAATAAAATAAAATAAAATAAAGAGAAGTAAGGAAAATGACCTGAAATAGTAACGAGGAACAAAAGAGATACTTTATATCATCTCTAGGTCCAACAATGTGAGATATGGGAAAAAATAGTCACCACTTAAGAAAAGCCATATTTTCGTTAGAGCAAAGTTAAGGAATGTTCCAGAAAACTGAGAATGTAACATTTTGCTGAGAGTATACCGTGAGTTCAAGAGGATACAATAGAATGTTTGGAGAACTGGGGGAGAGACAGACTGGGTCAGAACTAGGGGATGTACAGAACTGTATAGAGATAACAGTCTTGGGGGGCTTGTTCTTCTTGTAGTAGGATAAATAACATCGGAGCAGTGACAAAATTAGTGCTGTGGGATCTCCCATTATAGTTGTCTTCAAACTTTTTTCCTCAACTATCTCACACATTCTTAAAGTAACATCTAAAAATTTTCATACTGGTAAGTCTAAATATTTGCAAATAATGCAATTTCCAAAGAATGCACTGAGATATAAAACTCTCTTATGGGGTGCCTAGGTGGCTCAGTTGGTTGAGCATCTATCTGACTCTTGGATTTAGGCTCAGGTCATGATCTTGGGGTCCTAGGATCCCTGGGATCAAGCCCTGTATTGGGCTCCACACTCAGCTAGGAGTTGGCTTGAGGATTCTCTCCTTCTCCCTCTGCACCACTCCCCTCTCCCTCACTCATGCATTCTGTCTCTCTAAAATAAAAATAAGTAAATCCTAAAAAAAACCCAAACCCATAACTGTTGCATCACATTTCCAATGTGGGGCTTGAACTTACAACCCCAAGATCAAGAGTCGTAAGCTTTACTGACCCAGTCAGGCACTCCTCAAATTTAGATGGAATTTAAATATCACTAGCATCCTTTTAAAAATTTATGGACAAACTTTTAACAATTGGAAAATTTACACTGTATCTTTCTCCTTGAACTTGTATTCTATTCCACTTCATTCAGAGAATTTATCCTAATGCAACATAGTATGATGGCCTAAAGTGTTTTCTTGATCACCCTATACAACAGGAAAAATTCTCAAGTCTTCGGATGCTATAATCCCTTTCTCTTTTAATTGCTTTTAATAGTAACTCAAGAATCAGAACAAAAAATTAAGAACAGAAATGAACTCCGTGTTCATCCCAAAGGAAGTAAATTGTTGAAGATTATATAAGTTAGTAATGGAGTAAGATTAAGACTTAACATTGGATTCTCTTACTTTCAACCCACTGTTCTTTTCGCTGGCCCACAATGCCTCTGCACTGAATAACAACACACACAAAAACGAAGCTATTGTTAATGAGAGCATAAGAGCTCAGCTCTTGAAGAATGAGGGTAAAAACATAAATGTAAATCTGCCTGACATTGTCCTACCTTATTTTCTTTAACTCCATTTGTAAGAGTTTGAAGTGTACTTGGAGGAAAATGATTTGAAGCATTTCTTTTTGATTTCCGAGGTATTGCTACATGAAATCTTGGACTTGCAAGCACAATTTTACACGTATCATTCAAGGAACCCAGAAGATCAGTCTCTCTGGGGATTGTGTTCTCATTTCCTTCCTTAATTTCCTGTTGTGAAATCTTTCTCGTTGTCACCTTACTATCAGAAACCATTAATAGACCATCATTTTTAACAGGAACACAGTTAGTATTGAGAGTTTCAACAGTAGTATTTTGGGATTTTTCAATGACAGAATCAACACCTTCTAAAACAAAGGTGTCCTTTTTAGACTTAGTGGTTACAAACGTATTCTCCCCTGAATGAAGAATTTGTTTAGCCAACTGAGCTCTAGGTAATGCCTTGTTTGAGAATTCTGCAGTTGAACCATTTTCCTGTTTTTCGTTCAGAAGTTGAACTTCTGCAAAAAATACAAAACCAAACAAAATTTAGAGAAAAATTATATGAAATTAAAAGAGAGAAAAATAATAATATAAAACTATTTATATTAAAAAAAAGTGCTCAGGTTAGGAATGCTCCACCCTTCTTCCCAGTTTTTCTCTGAAAAGGACTGCTTACACAGAAGTATAATTATCTGGAAGATTCAACTACATATTCAACAAAACAAAAAGCACTTTACCGTAAGTTAAATTATGCAGAGGTGCTTTCTTTTCCTGCAGAGGTGCTTTCTTTTCCTGCTGACATTGAATCTTTTTCTTTATTGGAAGGAAAGTACTATTTGATGATTCCAGAGGAACTTCTTGCACTGAGGTTGAGTGTTTTTTTTTTTTAAGAAAAGAGGAAATTGATCAGATCAATATAGTATACTTCTGTAACATACGTTTCCCCTTGTCTTCTCATGCTTTCATCCCATTCTCTATATCTACATTATGCTAAGGAAGCATTTAAAAAAATATTCTACATGCTATAATTTGTCAGCTCTAGATAGAAGTCTATTACTGGACTTAGACTGGAATAAAATTCTGGTGCTGCCACAAATCAGAAAAGTATATCTTAATATTATATACAAAGTACCACAGTCCTGAAAATACTGATTCTGCTTCTGGTTGCTGTAAATTTCTAAAATACGAAACAACAGTTGGAGAGTAGTAGCTTATATGTTAAAAGTTGCAGTGTTGTGACTCAACAGCAGACCGCAACCATAATTTATACCCCTTGGACATCTCTTTAATAGACCTTCAAAGGCAAAAATCGAGTAGGCTTATCAATTAGACAAGTACAGACTAATAATATTTCTTACATTTTGGGATCCCTGGGTGGCGCAGCGGTTTGGCGCCTGCCTTTGGCCCAGGGCGCGATCCTGGAGACCCGGGATCGAATCCCACATCGGGCTCCCGGTGCATGGAGCCTGCTTCTCCCTCTGCCTATGTCTCTGCCTCTCTCTCTCTCTCTCTCTCTCTCTCTCTCTCTCTCTCTCTGTGTGACTATCATAAATAAATTAAAAAAAAATTAAAAAAAAATATTTCTTACATTTTATTCTACTTTATATCCTAGCTGGTTCAAGTTTTATTTCTTGAAGGTAGAAATGAGTTTCTTTCATACAAAAAGGGGAATGTAATAGACATAATTAGAAGAAAAACTGAATTATTTCATACTTAAGATTTTATTTATTCATAGACACAGAGAGAGAGAGGCAGAGACACAGGCAGAGGGAGAGGGAGAAGCAGGCTCCATGCAGGGAGCCCGACGTGGGACCCGATCCCAGGTCTCCAGGATCATACCCCAGGCTGCAGGCGGCGCCAAACCGCTGCGCCACCAGGGCTGCCCATTTCATACATTTAATTTCAAGTAGTATAACTGACAAAAATTACAGTTTTAGCCTTAGGAATCTAATATAAAGATTTTATTATAATGACGTGTATCATAAAAGAAGGATAAGTTTCTATTTCTTTAACTCATTCTACTAAAAATGGCATGGTAGTGCAGTAAAGACAAGGTAGTAATTCAATCAGATACAATATAATGTAGAATCTAGGTAATTTATTTTAGAGTACAAAGTCCATGCAGATTCTCCAAAAGGTCTCTGAAATTACATACAAAATTTGTATTTCTATATATGTGAATTTTCTGGGGAAAAGAGTCATCAGATTCTCTAAGTTATTTCTTCCTAATTCTACTTGGCAAATAAAACATGCTTTAATGTGCATTATTTCATTTGCTTCTCCCCTTTCTCCTACTGTATAAAACAGATTTTATGCACTCCCCTACCTCCATCCTAAACTCCCTTAGAAACTGCTTTTTGGGGATCCCTGGGTGGCGCAGCGGTTTGGCGCCTGCCTTTGGCCCAGGGCGCGGTCCTGGCGACCTTGGATCGAATCCCACGTCGGGTTCCCGGTGCATGGAGCCTGCTTCTCCCTCTGCCTGTGTCTCTGCCTCTCCCTCTCTCTCTGTGACTATCATAAATTAAAAAAAAAAAAAAATGTTTAAGAAACTGCTTTTTGTGTCAAAATATATCACTGTCTGAAATGCAATATATCCACAGTCTACTGTGCAGTAAAGACATGGGCTTTCAAATAGGTACCTGTATTAATTCTCAGCACATCACTTATTAACTCTGAGACATGCAGACATAACCTCTTTGTAAGCCCCATTTCTTTGACTATTAAAATGAGCATCTATACATAGTGCCCGCTGAAAGGATTTTATGATAGTGCATGTAAAATCTGTTTATCAATTACTGCACCTTATTAAAATTTCAACTTCAAATGTACCAAATTCTAATCATTCTATCTTTCCTAATCATTCTCTCAAATTCAATGATGATCCTAACACCACCTATTACTTCACACTTCCTCATTTCCTTCAGGTTTTTTCTCTAACTTAAATTTCATGGTTTCCTTAAACACACACCTCAACTTCTTTATCCTCTTCATCCTATTTGATAAAAATTATAATTCTGATAAAATACAACTCCCTGCCTATTCCTCAGCAGCACCTATTCAGCTAAATAAGGCTGGAGAAAAACTCATAAATAACCATATTGACTGCCCTTATTTAAGTTCATGCTCACAATCTCAAGTAGGTCCTTAATGTTACATAAGAAATCAAATTTAGGCTAGCCTACACTGTTTACTCTTCCATCCTCCTGCATTATTTAAACCTCCACCTCCTCAAACTTTAATACCAGCTTCCCAAGCTCACTCTCAGCTGACTTTATTGCCCACTTCAGATTATTTAATATAACACTGCCTATCTTCTTGTTTGATTTATCATCTGTTTATGTTCTTAGCTAAGGCCAAAACCATCACTTTTAGATTCTGTTCCCTCTCAACTACTCAGTGGTACCACACTACCAATTTTAGATTTTCTTTCCCTACCTGGATCATTCCCAATAGCATACAAAAACGTCCTTTCGAGACACACACACACACACACACACACACACACACACACACACACACACACCACACATTTATATAGTTTTTTTTTTTTTTAAAAGTAGGCTCCATGCCCAACATGGGGCCTGAACTCAACCACCCTGGTCCACCCTCGTCAAAAGTCGCATACTCTACAGACTGAGCCAGCCAGCCACCCCAAAACAATAAAATACTTTGAAATTATACTTCTGGGCAGCCCCGGTGGCCCAGCGGTTTAGCGCTGCCTTAGGCCCCAGGCCTGATCCTGGAGACCCAGGATCGAGTCCCACGTTGGGCTCCCTGCATGGAGCCTGCTTCTCCCTCTGCCTGTGTCTCTGCCTCCCTCTATCTCTCTCTCTCTGCCTCTCATGAATAAATAAAAATTCAAAAAAAATTTTTTTAAATCTAAAGTTATACTTCCCATATTTCTTTGCTCTCTTCAAAGAGTTGTCTATATTTACCATCATCAATTTCTCTCCTTCATATTTTCTCTTCCAACTGTCTTGAATCACTTTTTTATCCTGTCACTCCACCAAATCCCTTCATCAAAGCCACCAATGACCTCCACATTGCTAAATCCAATCTTAGCCTTCATCTTACTTGATTTATAGCAGCATTAGATACAGTGAAGGACTCTTTCCTTAAAGCATTTTGTTCTTTTGGCTTCCAAAGTATCACTCCTGGTTTTTCTTCCTTATCTTCTTGTGGTTCATTTATTCTTAACTTCTAAATTTTGGGGTCCTCCAGGACTCATCCTTAAATGCTTTCTCTTTCTACACTTACTCCTTGATGATCTATTTTTCTCACCTGGACCACTTCCCTAAATTCCAGCTAATTTTTTCTCAGTAGCCCAATCACATCTACACTTCAATTTTTAATCAAAGTAACATACAAAAAAACTTAATTACTAAGTACCTCCCCACCCTGCCTATCCCATTTCAGTTAAATCATTCCATCTTTACAGTTACTCAAAGAAACCCAGAACCAAACAAACGAAAAGAACACCCTAGAGCCATCCTTTATATCTTTTATATTCCAAACCCAGTCTATGAGCTCTTCCTTCAAAAAACACCCAGAATCCAACCACTTATTATTTTCACTGCTACCACCTAAACCAAACCAATATCTTACCTCACTTAGATTACTGCGCTATTTCAAATTGACAGCAGGTGATACTTTTAAAATATAAGTCAGATCATGTCACTTCTCTGCTCAGAGCCCTCCAATGAATCCTTAATTTGCTCACATAAAACCCCAAACTCTTATGTTCACCTCTAAAAGCTCCACATTTTTTAACTGTATCTGTCTCCTTCTCTCTACCTCTTTCCACTCACTCTATGATATACTAATCTCATAGCTTGTCCTTGAATTTGTGGAGGAATGCTATTTCAGAGCATTTGTACTAGTTATTACCTTGTCTGGATCATCCTTCCCAATTTTTCCAATATTCCTTTTTTTTTTTTAAAGATTTTATTTATTTATTCATGAGAGAGACACACAGAGAGAGGCAGAGACAGGCAGAGGGAGAAGCAGGCTCCATGCAGGGAGCCTGACGCGGGACTTGATCCCAGGTCTCCAGGATCACACCCTGGGCTGAAGGCAGTGCTAAACTGCTGAGCCACCCGGGCTGCCCTATATTGTACCATTCTTATTTAAATTGTCTCTCCCACTACCTGAATGTGAGCTAACACACAAAGGCTGGGGTATTTGTCCACTTTGTTCACTCCTCTATCCTGAGTACCTAAAACAGTATCAGACCAATAAACACAACACATCATAGCTTTTCAACCAACACATAATAAAACTAACCTCTTGGTGAACTGTTATCTGACTGGAATGATTTGTTACTTTCCTTTTCTTCATAGACATAGGTATGCTGCAATACTCTTTTCTCAGCTCCTTTAGGAGTAAAAATTTTTTTATTTTTTGATGGTTCCAACAAACTATTGTTTCCTGATGCTTGTTCTTGCTTGTCACGCAGTACTTTTTCTTTCATTCTTTGAAATATTTTTCCTGGTGATTCATAGTTTGCTTTATTTTTTAATCCGTCCTTGTTGGGCTTTATAGCACTGATATCAAGAGAGCTGTTAGAGGTGGTAGCCCCTGCTAGCATGGTGGAATGAAATCTATTTTTATTATTAAAATCTGTCATGTCTAGGCAAGGAGTCCTTTTATGGTCATTCAATGTTAAAGAGGGGTTCTGATATTTTGCCAAGTCTTTTACAGGAGTAAGTGTTCCTTCAGGAATGGTGTCAAAAAAGATTGCATGCATGGGCATTTTCCTTCTTTTAGAAAATTTCTCTGAAGACAAATCAATTCCTGGATGTTTCAAAGGTGTTGTAATCATCTTGAAAAACAGTAGCAACAAGTTTTCTCTAACAGATGATTCACTTAAACACAATTTTCAGGAAAGGAGACTTCTGCAGGGGCCCAGAGGAACCTGTAGTTCAATGTGAAATAAACCTTTATCATGCTTTGGTGCAAAAAAAAGTTTATTTGCTTTCCATAACACAAATGTGAAGTTCTATATTTTTGTTAAAGACTCATTATTATTTTAGATGAGAAGTTTGGTCTTATATACTTGAACCTCAAGTCCTGGAGGTTGATGCAATCTAATATTTGCATCAAAATGCATTGAAGGACATCTGCATACGGCACTATATTACACTATAAAAGATTAAATTTCACAAACATCACTTTTCCTTTTAGGCACTTAAATTTTAAGGCAGCAGGTATGATGATACATTCTAATGAAAGCTGAAAGATTCGAGCAGCGGAAGATGCGGCGAAGATGGCGGCGGCCGTTCCACAGCGGGCCTGGACCGTGGAGCAGCTGCGCAGCGAGCAACTACCCAAGAAGGACATTATCGAGTTTCTAGAGGACCACGGTTCAGATTCGTTTCTTGCAGAACATAAGTTATTAGGAAACATTAAAAATGTGGACAAGACAGCTAACAAGGACCATTTGGCTACAGCCTACAACAATCTTTTTGAAAGTAAGCCTTTCAAAGGCACTGAAAGTATAAGTAAAGTGTCTGAGCAGGTGAAAAATGTGAAGCTTAATGAAGATAAACCCAAAGAAACCAAGTGTGAAGACTCTGGATAAGGGTCCACCAAAATATACAAAACCTGTCCTCAGAAAAGGAGATAAAACCAACTTTCCATGCTGTTCACTGCTGGTATACAGGAACACTACAGGATGGGACTGTTTTTGATACTAATATTCAAACCAGTTCAAAGAAGAAAAATGCCAAGCCTTTAAGTTTTAAGGTTGGAATAGGCAAAGTTATCAGAGGATGGGATGAAGCACTCTTAACTATGAGTAAAGGAGAAAAGGCTCGACTAGAGATTGAACCAGAATGGGCTTATGGAAAAAAAGGACAGCCTGACGCCAAAATTCCACCAAATGGAAAACTCATTTTTGAAGTGGAATTAGTGGATACTGATTGAAATAGCAATGCTTCAGATATAAAGACATTAGCAACAATAAAACATGGCCTTGAAGAAACTTATGTAACTAGAAATGGTTACTATTGTAAGGGGAGAGTCAACTGGAAAATTCAAGAACTCAGATATTGTTTACCCAATCCCCAACTTTTAATATATGTAATCCATCATAATTCCTTAAAGTTTGAGATATTTTACTACAGCTGTGTAAAATATTAGTTAAGGTGAAATGACTTTCCTTTTACCTCGTGTTGTAAACTAAAAGGCTCAATAAAAACGTATTCAGTGTCTTGAAGAAAAAAAAAAGAAAGCTGAAAGATTCAATTTTTTAGTTAAATAATTGTCAATCCTAATTGAATACCAATAAAAAATAAATTTATTAAAAAAAAGAAAAAAATAATTGCCAATCCTGATTTTGTTATACTGCTGAACATTTTAACCATGCAGTTTTAATTGAAAAACATTCAAATCGAAAGTAAATTATATTCATTTTTTAAAAAAATTAATGCAATTTAGAATTTTAGAGGAAATCATGTACTTGAGCACACATGTCTTAGACTTGTTTTAACTTGCTTTTATAAATATATTTTGTATCCCACACCTATAAATCAAGATTCTAAGTGATGAACCATACATTGTGTAATATTTGGCAAATAAATAAAACATTTCCACCTAAGGAGCTTGGAACTTACTGCATCTCTTATTGCTGAATCTATAACTATTCTAATCAATCTTTGACATCATATAAATATAAAAAGCATACCACAGAAAATACTAATGCAGTCAAATCAAAGATATCAAGTATCTTTATCTAAATAACTTCCATGAGAAGTATGCAAGTTAAGAATTCATACACAAATAGTACCTTATCCAATACTTTATTAAGAGAAAAAAAGGAAATATTCCTTTCTAACAAGGGCTGACAAAGAAGGCTAACTTGGCAATCTGGTCCTGTGACACGAAACAACTGAATTCTTCCACAGAGTGTTAATTTAGTAAATATGTACTAATGCATAGATTTATGTGTTTGGCAATTTGCTAGTGATAGGAATCCTGTGTTGCGAGTTAAAATACTTAGTAGTGGTTCACTTTAAACTCTCAAAATAAAAAATGAATAAATGGGGGCAACTGCACACAAAAGAAGGGCTAAGTATGTACAAGCTTACACAATCTCAATTCCTCACAAACTAATGAAATGCTCCACAGGAAGTATAAAATGCAAATAAACTAGTGGAACTGAAAACAGGCCCAATCTTAGTAGACATATATTACTGTTTTCTAAAGGCAGGTTATTATGGCCCAACTGAAAGGCTCAAAGAACAAACATACATGTCCTTTTTCATGTTGCCCAACCTCTGCCCTCCCAATTCAAACACGTAGCAGGATGGGAGTGAGTGGTCAAGATTCTGGAAAACCTCAAATTCTAAACCCCACCTCCAAAAAAGACACAGAAGATTCCTAGGAGCCCCTTTCCCATTATATGATAAATAGTAACTCAATAGAAGCCAAAAGAGTTGGCAATATTTGTCTGTGGCTTCAGTGTGGTTGGTGAGGATGTAGAGGAAAATAAAATTACCTAGGATTTTCTGACCAGAGAGGCTTTACAGAATAGATACAGAATAAAAACAGGAAATCACCAGGTCGAGACTAAATGTTCAAAGCCCCATTCTCCTCCTAGTTAATACAAGAGCAAAGCTAAGAAAACAGGTTATGATGCTCAGACTCTGATAGAAGAGGCTGATGTTAGAGGACCGGGATTCAGTAATAGGCATTCCTCAAGTTGAGGAAGAGAGTAGCCTGAAGGCCAAGCACACTCAATCTAACAGAGAGAGGTCACTAACAAGTTCCTTCTTGGACTAGAGAAGAGAAGGTGAATTCTAAAATGGTATGCTTCTGCTTCACTAACTGCTTAAAACTATTTGGAAAATCTAACTGTTGCCATTTATTCTGAAAACTGACAAATGCTGATATACTAAGAAAAAAAATGCTATTTATGTAAAAGATTTGGGTATGAGAAAACCATCATATGAAAAAGCTAGCTATGAGCACTTTATAGGTATGTAAATATATATGTAAAGCTAAACAACTGTTTTTTTTTTTTTTATCATGGATATGATGCTGAATTTAACTATTACTCTTCTTCCCAAAATTACATGAAAAGTTCTTCTAGGGATTTACTGTAGTGGTAGCAATAGTAACAATAACAATTATTATAATGGAAAGGGTCAAAAATCCCAAAGCACACTAATTAAAACTGGGAGGTGGAAATAGAAAAAAATGAGAGGAATTTTAAGTTAACTAGTAAATGATACACTGGGGGGGGGGGGGGACCCAAAAACAAACTCAGCACTTGGTATGCAAAGGAATTGATTCAATTACTATAAATAAGATTCAAAGTCACCAAATGAATCAATTTTTAAAAATGAGCAACACAGAAAACGACCAAAAGGTATGAAAGGCAATTGATAAAGAATACAGAAAGCTACTCAGTGAGTCAAATGACATTTTGTTTCATTAATAATTGAAGAGCTGCAAATTAAAACAATGGGACTTCTTGTTTATCAGATTTGAAAAGATCAATTTCAAAATTTCACAGCCCAAGCCCAGGCGACCCTTACCCCCTCGCGAGGTTCCCAGGTACCCACAACAGTGTGCATGCTGTCGATCAAGAAATTCCATTTCTAAGTTTTTTTCTTATGGGAACAACTACATTAAGAATGCAAATATGTAAATGGTAATAACAGTTAATATTTATTGCATATATGTCAAGCACTACATAACCTTACAGCAATTCTTAAAAGTTTTGAAGATGGGGAAACCAAGGCACAGGTGGTTAAATAATCTGCCCAAGGTCCCACAGACAATGATTAGAGCAGGACCTAAGTCAAGGCCCAAACGCTATACAGGGACGTTCACTGAAGTACTGGACAAATTATAAACAATGTAGATCTCCACCACTATGGGACGAAATTCTGCTACATTCATACAACTGAATTCTATGTATTCAATAAAAAGATATATTCCTGTATATGAACTGACATAGAAAACAGCGAGGATATATTCAATAAAAAAGGAAGGAGTAGAAGAGGACATACAGTTGCATTTCTATACAACACATGAGCATAAGCATAGGGAAAAAAAATCTGGAATTGTACCAAATTGTGAATAACGTCTGACTTTGAAGAGTAGGATGAGAGGGTCCTCCATTTGCTAAATAATTTTATTAACATCTAAATGTGTTTGCAAACAATGTGTAATTGAACCAGAAGAAATTATAAGCTCGATGGATCAAGTGCGTCTATAGCGCTGTGGATCTTGGGGTCCAAGGGCAGTGATGCACACAAATCATTCTAACGTAAAGGTTTTTTCGGGGTGGTTGTTTTTTTTTTTTTTTTTAAAAAAAAAAAAAAACAGAAATGATTTTACAACAAAGTCCTAGAGCGTTCACCACTGAAACGAATCTGAACGACAGCAGACACGCAACAAATACGTACACAATGAATAGTTATGAAACCCCTACCGACGCCGAAAGTGTAGAAAAGCCCACGGCGGGCCAAGAATGCTGATGGGTGGGGACCCTCAGCGCCAGCGGGGGGCCGAGCGCAGGAGGGGAGGGAAGGGGAGCGGGGCAAGGAGTTCATACCTTGGGTGAAGGGCCTCATAGGGCTAGAAGCCGGCAGTCCGGGCTTGGCTCCGCGAAGGGTGGGCGGGCGATCCCAGGGCTCGCGCCTCTGGCCCCGCAGCCCAAGCCCAGGCGACCCTTCCCCCCTCGCGAGGTTCCCAGGTACCCACAACAGTTGGGGAATTCAAATTCGAAGAGCCCGCCCTCCGCTCAGCCCCGCAATGGCGCGCTCAGGAAGTGCGTCACCGTGCGACTCGAGAAAACTCGGGGTGGCCCCGAAGCGCGAGGGCAATATTCTTTCTACAAAAGGAGGGTAACCCCGAGTTGCCAAGAGTACCTACAGCGCCACTCTAGCCTTTTGAAGAACTCGTTTCCTTTTCGGACGGCGGGCGCCCGCAGCACGTTTCGCGGCTCCTCCCGTTAGGCTCTGCGGCCGGAAGGCTTACGTCCGACGTCGCTTGCGTTCTCGTGCGCTACTGCGGGTTTTTAAGTTTGGCCCTTCCGAGCCACCCTCCTCCCGTACCGGCTTGGTAGCGGGTGGCGTCTAGCTCTCGGGTTGCTCGGCGGCTGCCTGAGGAATCAGCTTTCCGAGCGCTCGTTTGACGGAGCTTTTAGTTTTCCCTGGCCGCGGTTATTTGAGAATGAGAAAGAACGTTTTGCTCTTGAGACGAAAACAGACTGAATGCAAAGTTAGCGATACTTGCAATGGGATGTTTAATTTGAGCTATTTTGCCAAGGAGTGCGATGTTTTTTGAACCTGACTGTATCGAATCCCAAAAGCTTTGATATTGAGGACTCTGGGTTGCAAAGCGGTTCGCGGCAGCGCAGTGAGACTGAGCCCTGCCTTAGGTCGCACGCGGTGGTGCTCCAACCAGCGCGGGTTTGGGGGGCGCCCTTCAACTCAAGGCCCAGGCAAGACGCATTCGCTGGCTGGAAGCCTTGTTTCAGTTTTGTGGGCGGAGAAGGAGGAGTCAGAGGAGTAACAAATGTCTTCAGCCCCAAACCCCTTCCAGATCCCATCCTGCGTCTTCTGCCCACGAACCCCAGCCCCCTCCCAACAAGTCACCCCGGGGCAGGAGAGTTTCTTTTGCCCTCATCCAAGAAAATTCCTCAGCATCCTAAAAACATGTTAATCGCATTTCTCCGTTAACACTGGACTGATTGTAACGGATCGTTTAAAGTGACTTTTGCAATCCCCTCGTCTAAATCCTGTTTTCACTAAATCTTGCGCACCCCGAATATTGAGAGTCCGAAATATAGACTTGAAACATGCAAATGAATGCAAGTAAGGAGGAGAAAACAGTTGAGATGAGGAGAGGAAAGGAAAGCAAATCTACATAGATAAAATGAAGTTTCTGTCTGTGCAGCGTAATGAGAAAATGACTGGACATGAACCAGATTTGTGGGAAAAGCTAGACGTTGAGGTACCTATTAAGTGACATGTATGAAAGCATATGAAATGCGCTTTGTGTGCCAGAGACTTCGAGGATTTGGGAATTCATATTCCAAGGCATCTGAAATAGAAGTAGGAGAGATTTCTATGCCTGACATGGAGATGGCCGTGGCTCACACATTCCGCCAGAATAAGAATCTTAAAATATTAAGGATAGACACTCAGAAATATAGACATTTCTTTTTTTTAAATAACCTCGTTTCATCTGAGAAACTGCTAGTATATAGCATGCTCCAGGGTGAACAGCAGCAGGGATACACCTACGGATGACTAATGATTTTCCAAACAAAATGAGAGAAAACAGTTTGTGGATGAAAGTGTGATGAGAAGGCATACAGGCAAAGGGACAGTGTTCATCTGTCCATTGGGACATCAACATACTGCCCTGAATGGGCCTTCCTTTAAGTTTCAGTCAGCCAACTGGGATAATCTGTCCAGGCTAAGTCTGTAACTCCTGGGAACACATGCAGACCCACTTAGGGCCCAAAGGACAGACATAGGGAGAAGGAAATGGAAGCTTCACCTTGTGTGGGAGCTGCTGCCAAGGCATCTGGGTCTGCTTAACCTGGAGGAATATTCCCAGGACAATGGTAAGTTCCAGCAGGATACCAATTGACCATATAGCATTTTGGATTTTGGGGAGAGTTAGAAAAAAAAAAAAAAAAAAGCTCTTTCTTCAAGGCCAGTAGTTCTCAACCAGGGGTGATTTTGCACCTCCGGTGGGCCGGGGGGGGGGGGGGGCATTTGAAAATGTCTGGAGACATTTACATCATAAATGTCACAACGGAGAGGGATGCCACTGGTGCCTAGTGAATAGGAGACAGCAATGCTACTAAAATCCTACAATGTGCAGGAAAGTGCCTCCACTGCAAAGAATTATCCAATCTAAAATGTCAATAATGCCAAGGGCTGAGAAATCCTACACTTTTAAGATGAAGCCCTGAAACAGGATTTTAGACCTTCCACTCTCTCAGCGGTGTTTCCCCTATATAAAGTGCAACTATACAATCATTACTGCAGTGTCTGGGCCTAGAGGAGAGATGGAGATAGTCTAAAGGGAAGTTATCCTGGCTATGGGAAGGGAGACCCTCTCAGTTTAAAAAGCAGTCAGGGATTGCTGTGTAACAGAGACAGTATTATAAACATATAACCATATCTTTACGAATTATAGTAAGTGCTATAAAGATATATCAGATTAGATCCTACAAGAAGCTGATGGTAAAATGGAGTTAGGAATACCAGAGATTTATTGGGAGATAAGGCCTGTGAAGGTTAAGGAGAAGAAAGAAGGATTAGGCCTCATAAATCTTCAGACTTTGACACAGATCTGACATTTGTGAAAGAAAACAGCGAAAGGAAGCAAAATCAGGCGGAGGGACCCTAAGATTGCAATGTAGATTTGACAAAGTATTGGCTAACCTAGCAGAGAGACTTGGGGTAACCCATCAGGGATATCCTGGAGTGGCTAGAAATGGACAGATCCTAGAATCCATAATGGTGTAGGCTGCCTGAGAAGAAGATGGCCTTGACTCAAAGGCTTAAAAAAACCTTTTTTTTTTTTTAAAGGGGATCATGGCTGGCTTCATTGGTAGAGTTTGTGACTCTTGATCTCAGGGTTGTGAGTGTAAGCCCCACATTAGGTGTAGAGATTACTCAAAAATAAAATCTTTTAAGAAACCAATTTTTTTAATTAAAATTTTTTGGGATTGAGATATAATTGTTTATAACAGTATATTAGGGTCAGATGTACAACCTAGTGATTTGATATATGTATACCAAATGTATTTTTTGTATATTACAAAATGAACACAATTATATCTAGTGAACATTTATCAGCACACAGTTACATGAGAACTTTAAAGATCTACTCTATTAGCAACTTTCAAATATACAGTACTAACTATAGTCACCATGCTGTACATTATATGCTCAGGACTTGTTTATTTTGTAACTGGAAGTTTGTACGTTTTGACCACCTTCACCCATTTTATCCATACCCACCCCTGCCTCTGGCAACTGCCAGTCTGTTCTCTGTTCTGAGTTTTCTTTTGTTTTGTTTTTAGATTTCACATAAAAGTAAAATCATATAGTTTTTGTACTTCTCTGTTTATTTCACTAAGCCTAATGCCTTCAAGGTCCATCCGTGTTGCTGCAAATTCAAGATTTTCTTCTCTTTTTATGGCTAATTAATATTATATTGTATAGGGCAGTCTGGGTGGCTCAGCAATTTAGTGCTGCTTTCAGCCCAGGGTGTGATCCTGGAGACCCAGGATCAAGTCCCACGTCAGGCTGCCTGCATGGAGACTACTTCTCCCTCTGCCTATGTCTGTGCTTCTCTCTCTCTCTGGGTCTCTCATGAATAAATAAATAAAATCTTTAACAATATATATTATATAGTACATATAAACCACATCTTCTTTACCCATTGATCCTCAATGGACACTTAGGTTGTTTCCATATCTTGGCTATTGTTAATAATGCTGCAGTGGACATAGAGGTACATATATCTTTTTGAGATAGTGATATCATTTCCTCCAGATATATACACAGCAGTAGAATTGCTGGATTATATGGTAGTTCTAGTTTTAATTTTTGGAGCTATCTCCAAAAATAGGAAGAGCATATTTTCAGTGGCTTTTGATTTTTTTGTAACCCACAATAAGATATGTTTTATATTATACCTAATAAATGCATAAATACATATAACTAAAGCAAGAGTTTTTCAAACATTACTTATCCTTATTGTGTGCAATCATGCTAATAATTCGGGGAGAGTTAGAAAAAAGATACACGTAATTTCCATATTTCCTGGTTTTTAGTGCTTGTGTATAACTGTAGGACATTGTGAATATTTTCATGTTTCTACATGGTTAACACATTTTTTTCTTTTAAAAAAAATTATGATGAAATTCACGTAACTTAAAATTAATCATTTTAAAGTATAAATCCAGTGGCTCTGTCCCCTCTTTTATGTAACTATTATAAGTTATGTTTTTGGGATCCCTGGGTGGCACAGCGGTTTAGCGCCTGCCTTTGGCCCAGGGTGCGATCCTGGAGACCCGGGATCTAATCCCACGTCGGGCTCCCGGTGCATGGAGCCTGCTTCTCCCTCTGCCTGTGTCTCTGCCTCTCTCTCTCTCTCTCTGTGACTATCATAAATAAGTAAAAATTAAAAAAAAATCTTTAAAAAATGTTATGTTTTTGTACATTGTATACCCATTATTGTAGATTTATAATTTTTTATGAATTTCTTGTAAATTATATAGGAAAAAACAAGCTAAAACCCCAAAACACAATAACACTGGATTTTATATGTATCTGTATAGCTACATTTATCTGAGTTCTTGATTTCTTCTTGTTTTGCATTGTTGTCTAGTGTCCCCTCATTTCAGCTCCAAAGGCTCTCCCTTTAGCATATCATATAGAGCAGATCTTCTAGTGACAAGCTCCTCCACCTTTTGTTTATCTGGGAATGTCTATTTTCTCCATTACTAGAGGATAGTTTTGGCAGATATAGAATTCTTGTTAGTCTATTTCTTTCAGCACTTTTTAGTATGTCATCTTACTGCTATTTGGCCTTCATTGTTCCTCACAAGAAATTAGATGTAAATGTCATTAATTTACATTGTTATTGGTTTCTTGTATGTGACAATTCTATGCTCTCACAGCTTTCATGATTATCTTTTTGTTTTTGTCTTTTGACAGTTTGATTATCATGTGTCTTGATGTGACATCTTTGTGTTTATCCTTGGTATGTTTTTGAATTTTTTGTATATGCATGTATCTATCTTTTATTAAATTTGATAAGTTTCTGACTATTTATTGAAATATTCTTTCTTTGCCTTTCTTTCTTGGC